AGCTTAAATAAATTTAAAAATGTATAATTAATATGCAGATAATGTGTAAAATACTTACTAGTAGTGGTTATTATGATTTTAATATATATATATATTTTATGTACTAAAAAATGTTGTTTTAGTCCATATAAGAGACATTACAGGTTAAGAAGAGGACAGATAATGTAATATAAAACACATGTATTATATATATATATATATATATATATATATATATATATATATATATATATATACGATATATGATAAAGGAGCTTGATGATACGATTGCCGCCATCGTATCATCAAGCTCCTTTATCGTATATTAATATGAATTTAAAGTTGGATTTCATCAAAAGATGGGATCACATATGGGTGACCTCAGCTAAGTCACCAAGCTTACACAGATTTATACCACACATTTCAATTCACAATTACAGACACATTCACAGTAATGACTACAAACTTACGCAAGTACTTACGGAACATGGGAATACAAAACAATATCTTAAAAGATTCAACATTATACAAACAGACTTATGTGATGAAGACGGACAGGTTCAAAATTTTAAACATATAATATATGAATGTAAACGATTTGACAGACAGCGATTTGAGTTAATAAAAAGCATAATTATCAAAAGAGGAAATTGGCCTGAGACGGAACAAAAGTTATTTACTGAATTCAAGACAGACTTTCTTAGATTTATTAGATCGATCGACTTCGACTTACTAACCAGGGATGGACAGCGTGGGTAATTTCTTTTTGGCTTTGTTGGATTGACTTTGTGTGTTTAATATTTAAATTTCCGATTTAATTTTTGTGTTTATTCTTTGTGTTTTTTTTTGTTAATGTATATAAATTTGAACTAAAAATGTAAATCATGTGAAACTAGAAAAAAAAAAAAATTGGAAACAAATGTAATTCATGTAGTATGTCTTTAAGGCATGGAGCATGAAGGAAAATCAAATAAACGATCCTTGTGTGGGGTTACCACGTAGGGAAAAAAAAAAAAAAAATATATATATATATATATATATATTAACTTTTTTGTAAATAACAAAAGTATTATATTTTCAAAACATGATACCTATATGTTTTGAGTTAATTATTTTCTTTCAATCCACTTTTCTTGAAAATACTATTTTCAGATCTCACTGAAATCTAAGATGAAAGAAGTAGCTAAAGGCTCAAACAAACAAAATTAGAACAAAACTAAAATTTAGAAAGGCACATCTTTTTGAATTCTGCACTGAAAATTTATAAGTATTTTTGTAATTGAAATAAATAAAAGAGGAGAATCAACTGTGAAAGTGGAGTTATAAATAAAAAAAAAAAAAAAAAATTAAAAAAATTCCATTGCAGTCACAATATTAATTTTAAGATTAATGAATTAATCTCTATCATGTTTTTCTTTAAATGAACTTTTATTGGTAGAGTGCCATTTACTAAGCATTGTATATATTTTTAAAAATTTTATATAACATATTAATTTTTAGTAACCACATCATAAAAAATACATAATGATATAAATAGTTTCATGCACTAATAAAGAATATAAGGTAGTAATGTAGAGATGGTTGACCGTTGATATAATATGAGAAGGAGTTAGTCGAGGGTGCGGTCAAATAAATAAAAAATTAAAATATATTAATTATTTTAATTTTTGCTGACGTTTCGACCCACTTTGCAGGTCGTCTTCAGGGCGTAGGATGTAGCACTGCGGGAGGCAGTTGAAACACTCAAGAGTGTTTCAGTGTTTCAACTGCCTCCCGCAGTGCTACATCTTACGCCCTGAAGACGACCTGCAAAGTGGTTCGAAACGTCGGCAAAAATTAAAATAATTAATATATTTTAATTTTTTATTTATTTGACCGCACCCTCGACTAACTCCTTCTCATAATATAAGGTAGTAATTGCATAATACAGAATTAAAAATTTAAGTAACACTTGTTAAAAATATATTTGAATTATAACTTTAAGAACAATTAATGTATGCTTTTTGAAGTGGAAAATTCTAGAATTAAAAATATAGGTACAAGAAAATTATAAATTATTTGGCTGAAGTGTTATCCTTCCGAATTGACCTCAATGCTCCTGTGACATTGATGATTGCTTTACTGAAACAAATAATAGAAATTATGAAAAATCATTGTAGGTAATTTTTTTTTTCTGTTTATAAATGTTTATCAATTTTTTTTTTTTTAGACGAGGAGCTTTAAAATATAGTAATATTTTATTGTTTATGATATACATTATACTATATAAGATACTTGGTATGATACCAAATTTATTATATATTATGGTACCCTTAAATCAATGGCTATCCTTGTCAGCAAGTATTATTAGTATTTCGATTATGGATACACATTTTGAATAACAAGTCTTGAATCATGATCCTGATAACTGAAACAAGAATATGAACTATTGCATGGGGCTGCCCATATGCATTGATTTTATAATGAAATTGATTGAATGTTATCACCTTCACTATACATAATAATACTCTTTGTCAGTTAAATTAAAAAACTACAAATTAAATACTAGACATTATTATTGTTTATAAGATTTTTCTGGAAATCTTGTTGATATATTAAACAGTTATTCAGTAATGGAAAACAGAATTCCTTGTTAACTCATTAAATGGAAATAATGAATGCCATTCAAGATAGAATATATCTGTCAGCTTATATAGGGTATTTATTGTCTATTGAAATATTAAGACAGAATAAGAATCGAATTATTAATAATAAAATTAAACCTGGATATATATTTATTATATATATTATAATATATGTTGTTATTTAGTATGAAACCATAACTTCACTTACTTTAAATCATCAATATCTCGAGTTATGCTTTTCAAAACATTTTTTTGCCATTCAGTCTGGGCTACTAATGAAGTACAGTATCTTTTCATTGTTTCTACATTATTGAGAAATGGTCGACTATTATAACAATTCTTCATATTTATTCCAATCGAACTTTTTGATATTTGATTTTCTAGTTGTAAAAATTGAGAATTTGTTACTCCTAGATCAAATGAGTCATCAACTTCACTTGTATTATTAAACTCTTTAGTTTCTTTGTGAGTATCTTTATGAAAATTTGCATGATTTATTTTCTGAGATAAAACATTTTTGTTTTCTTTATGACTATGTTGCATGGAAAACTTCTTTGAATCGCTTAATTCTATGGTACTTTTGGAACTGTCACTTTTTTCTGAAAAATCTTGATCTTCCTCTTTATAATGTGTTTCTATATTCGCATACTCTTCATGATCATCTTTTTCAAGTTTTACAGTGTCTTGAGATAATGTATCATTTGCAACATAGTTTTGGTTTTCAAAATGCATTTCATTTCTTGAAAGTGTTGGCGGTTGTATGATACCAGATTCTTGGAAATTTCTATTTAAATATTCATGATTTTCACCTTGAAAATCTAGTTTTTCGGTCAATGGCTGGAAAAGATTTCTATCTTTCTGATCTTGTCTACAATCTATTTGAATTCCAGTAGGATCTTGTTTAATCAATGTTTCTGAATTATTTATATAATTATCTAGGTCATGACAAAGATTCTCTTCTGAGTAATTATCATCTTGATCATTCATTAATTTACTTTGATTTGAAAACTCTCTGTTGTGTACTATTATTTCTTTAGAAGTTCCTGGAATAGGTTCACCTGATTCCATATCATAATCAGTGGAATTCTCTGTTTGGTATAAATTTTCATTGGCATCAGAATAATTAGATTCATTTACCATAAAATTATGATTTTGTGATAAATTACTTCCATGATTTGGAAAACTACGATTTAAAGTTTCTGTATCACAATCATAACTTGAAAATTTATTACTGACTTCATTTGAATCTACTTTAAGTGGAGGTTTCCAGCCCTGGGTGTTTTTTGAATGATTTAAATTTCTTGAAACAGCATCTTCTTCTTGGAATAATTTTTTTACTTTAAGATTACCAAAAAGGGTTCGTGGACTTAATCTGCCTGAAGCAGCTCGTTTTCCTGAGAATAAAAAAGCAATTTAGTAAACAGTTCATTGTAATTAAATATTACAACTGCAAAAAAAAGAAAAAAAATATGAAAAAGAAAACAAGATAGATATCATACTATTCTCTTCTGATTTAGGTCTAAAATCACAGAATTCTATTTGCTTTGTATTAGGTTCCATTTTATATTAACAGTAAACTTATAAATCAAACCTGTTGCAATAATATGAAGACAAATTATTTCTTTTTTTAATTGAACGGAACTAGATATATGAAAATAAAATAAGTAGATATCAGTGCTGCCAATGCATGAAGAACAGTGCTGGATTGTATATAAAATTAATAATTTTGGAAGGAATTTAAGTAATTAAGAATTCTTTAATGCACATTTATTTTTGCTACTTTTGAACTAAGAGTTCAATAGTGAAAAAAATATTTAAATATTAGATTTACTAAAAAATATATATACTTCTGATGTTTATAAATATATATATTCCACCTAAAAATTTAAATAAGAGTAGTGGCGCCGGCAAAACTTTGGTTTAAACTTTAAATTAAGCAATTAATTACTTTTATTTAACGAGGAGGAAAGTAAGTTATATTTAGTTGTGTCCAAAGACGGATAAGGGGCGGGAAAGGGGGAGAGAAGTGGCGGTTCATTAGATGGTGGAGTATATTATTGCAATTAAACATAAATAAACTTAAATAGAAGTTTTACAAACTTTTTTAGTTTTATTCATAATGAACAATTCATCTTATTTAGAAATTAAACCTTGAAAAGAATTATTAACTTAAACTTAAAACATTTTTTTAAAAGTCAAAGATGTTTATTGCTTTAAGTCAAAGAAAATTAATTAAAACTCGATGGATTATGTTCTAGCACTGTATTTTTAAAACTATTCGCATCGTAAATTATATTAAACGAATAGGTCAGTAGTTTGAAGATAGTATGTTTTTGAACAAAAATCGTTTTCATAGTAGCGAGTTCTACTTCTTTGGAAACTTGTTGGATTTTAAGCAAACATTACAAAGTTTGAATGCGTTTTGTCTACGATGTACTTTCGGTGTTGTAAATAGAATTGTCATTCCTATGTGATTATTTCAGTAGTTATTTAAAATGGAGAGCCCACTTAATAATGCCAGAAAGGGAACCAATGGTTATGATTTCTTGAAAAAACAAAACAATGAATCAAATTACATATCAAATATTGTTGATCAGTGTTTTAATAAAAAATTTTCGTTCGAGATCAGTGAAATTTGGGAACTGCCTCTCAAGAGTCAAGAAAATAATGCTTTAGATGAAGAATTTGATAAAAAAACTTATGAAAGGTGGCAGGTAATATTAATATATAATATTATAGTTAGCCAAAATATTTGTTGTTTTCTTTATTGTTTCCCTGTGTTGTTTTATAGATTGATGAATTAGAAGAATTGAAGTATAAATTAAATGGTGTGAAAAGTAAGCTCAATTCTTATAACTTTGGAGATTGGCATAAACACACAAGATCAAGAAATCCTGCTGGATTTGTTATGAGAGATTTGAAGAATTTTGAAATAGAATTACTCACCCAGGTATATATGAATAACAATCTTTTAATGAGTGAGTAAAGCTTAAAGAACTATTTTGTAGGAAACACATTTTCTTACATTTTAACATAAGTATTTGGTGGGTGACTTCATTGCAAATACCAACTTGACCGTGCAGTCACCATGAAGATTGTCCATTATGATACTAAAGTTTTTATTTAGATATATTATTCATTTTCAAATGATAGAGAAAATATATAAGTCTGGATATATATACTGTTACACCCTTGTGTCAAATTAATTAATGAAATGCTATTAGAGAAAATATATAAGTCTATATATATATATACTGTTACACCCTTGTGTCAAATTAATTAATGAAATGCTATTCATAATAACGTAGATATTGTTGGCCACAGGGATGGACTATAGGGGAAGTCAGCGGGGAGATGCGATAGTGGGGTGTGCAGTCTTAGATGAACTAACATTTCATTTAGTTATATGTGGCACAAAAATATCTAAATTACTTGGTCTTAAAATTTAATTTTTCTATGTTACTAATACGAAATAATCACATAATATATGTATTAATAATTCTGTTTTAGGCTTGGTGTAAATTTTTTGAGTTGCTTAATGTTTATAACATTGTACCTGCAAATAACAAGAAAACCTTCAGGTCATTCCATTTATGTGAAGCCCCTGGAGCGTTTATATGCTCTTTGAACCATTTCTTGAAATTGAATTATCCAAGCTTAGAGGTAAATTTTTTTTTTTTTTTTTTTTTTTTTAAACTAGTAAGGAAATCTGGTGTTAATAGATGTTTTTAAGTGGAATAAGTGTAAAGAAATATGTTATTGAAATACAAAGATATTGAGAATCATTTAAAACCCATTCTTCTGGAACCCAGAAAGGTTTTAGTGATAGGTAAGTATTTACTATTTCTTGATCAACAGTTTACAAGAAGCTGATTTACTTGGCTTCCACTTCCAAAAAAGGGCCAATCGTGAGTGTGTCAATTTATAGATCTTAAAATTTAAAATCTTCTATTTATTTCTTAAAAATAAAGTTATATGATTATATTAAATTGAATCTATGACTTTCTGTCCTAAAGTATCCTTTAACAATACCCCACTTATCCCTGTTGAACAAATCCGATACCTAGGACTCCACCTGTACAAACGATTCACTTGGAAACCTCATACCAGACTGATACAACTATAAACCGCCCGACGTTTTTGACTACTGCAGCACTTATCTTTATCTTAAGTATGCGTATCCGCTTTATCTTCGGGATCTCAAGGGATACGCATATTACTCAGTTCTACACCAAGTTGAAGTGGCTTTATCCGTCTTACCACCGTCAATATTTCCTTGCTACCTTCCTATACCAAGCCATTAGAACACGGCCACCTTCCTATATTCTACAGATCCTACAATTCAAACGCTCCTTTCAATCCCGTCCCACCAGATCCCATGCGTCCGACCTCTATTCTCCTCCTCACCAAACTGCTGAATTTGATAAATCCTTTTTAATACAAGTTGTCTCCCTCTGGAACTCTATACCTTCAGATATGCAAAATCCATATCTTCTTTCAAATCTCTCCTCTTCAAACACCTACTCCATTCCCAATCCGATTGATCACGAAATGCACTTAAAAACCTAAGCTGTAAAAACCTCAAAGTACGCCCAGATACTCTGATTACTTTGTGATTCATCGATATTTCGTTTACTTAATTGCTTTCTCAGTATATTTTATATTTACACGTATTTATATTTTTTTATTACTTGTAACTTTATTGTATTGCTAATCAACCTATAAATATTAAACTGTATTTTATGGACATACCAAAATATTAATATATATTCTGTATTTGTATCTTGTTCTAAAGGGATACTAGTCCTAGAATAATAAAATTATTTTCATTCATTCATTCATTCACTTACTAGACAAATGCTCTAAACTTCCAACTATTTACAAAAGACTCATACATATTACTATAATTAGGCCAATTTGGACTTATGGGATCAAGCTTCGGGGGTCTACTAAACCATCAAATACGTCTCATATCCAATCCTTACAGTCAAAAATCCTCAATGCTCCCTACTTTACCACAAATAAAGTCATCCATAACAACATTAATGTACCACATGTTTCTGATTTAGCTCAATCCAGATACCTATTTGTTTTATTATTAATCTATTATCTAGATACCTATTTGTTTTATTATTAATCTTTTATTACTTTTTTTAGTGGCGGTGGTGTGCGAGTACATTAAACCCATATCATGAAGGCAATAGCCTGGATGAAATGATTAATGATGACCGATTTATATCAAAAACATTAAAAAATTGGTGGTTTGGAGAGGATTACACTGGAAATTTGCGTCATCCGTGCAATTTAGATAATTTGAAGAAATTTGCTTCAACGTTGGGACCAATACATCTTGTTAGTTGATATGGAAACTGTAAATTTGTTTTTCTTGCATGTTTATTTATAGGTATATAGCTATTATTATTGTTTTTTATCATATAGTCCCTTTGTGGGTGATTCTCATTTTAAGGGATATTTTTAATCCATTACAAATTTTTACTCAATTAGTCAAGTATAATCTAATTTTTCCCTCATTTGCTATACTTTTCATAATAAAATATTAAAGAATAATTTAATTTTATTTAAGTTAGTAAAATGTCAGTTATTATTTATCACGTACTACCCCATTTTTAGTTTTCTTGTAATTATACATATTTTTTCTTTTTTTAACCTGTTTTAAATACTGATAAAGTTAATTTTTACTTATGAAGGATAACTTAAACGTTCTGAATCATATTTATTTTATTTTTTTGTAATAGTGAGGTCATTTATATACTATATAAACTTTGTCCTTATTGTTCAGAAGAAATCCACATTAGCCTACTGTGTATTTTATTATTTGCGGATTAAAAGCAAATCGGAAGTTTAAATAATTTCAAATCAGTATTTGTATATGTAAATTAACATACATATTTAATTATTACTATGTTTTCACTTGTAAAAAGTAGGAAACAAAAATTTATTGAAAAAAAATTCAATTTCTTTTTGTTGTTAACTGAAACTGATATTTTTTATTAACCGAAATAAAACTTATTTAATGAAAAATATGTAGAAATAAGAATATGAGTGAGGTGTACAATAACGGATATAGTAAAATGATAAACTTATGAAAAATTTTGAAGGTGTTGGTACTTTAAATAATTTATTTAAATTAAGTCGAAATTCAGCTAGTAGTCAAAAGTTCATTCACGAAAAATGCCTATAATATGAGAATCACCACTATACTAATTAAAATATTTAATATTATTGTGATATGATTGTATGAATAAATAGTTTAATTTTTGAAATTAAAAAAAAGTTAATTTTTTTAAATAATTATTATATTATAATAATCTAATAATGAATTAGATACTTGCATAAACTTTCAATTTTTATTTATTTTTTTTATGAAGATAAGGTTATAACAATAAAACTACTTCATGAAACTGGTATGTTATGGTCAGCCAGCGCTCATACCGTTGATAATGTTATAAAATTTGCTTATAGTAGTGTATTCAATTTCGAAACTTCTGTCGAAGAAACATGTCTCCATTTTTTTCTCTTAACCTGTTTTCTTTGATTAGAAATATTTAGTTTAAAATGTGGTTTATTTGGTTTCATGAATACATGTTTATGAAGTAGAGCTGAGAGGTACTTGGATGGACACTTATGTCAGCCATATATCTAGTTCTGCCATAAATACTGTTACAAAAGTTGAACTTTGTTTACATGCTTAGGTATTATTTAGATAATAGTTACCTCTATCAGGTTATTTTCTTTACATATCAGGATAATAAATCCAATTAGTTTTTATTTTTATTTTGCTCAATTAACATGGAGTTCCAACTTACACAAAGTTGGAAAATGTAGGTCAGAGATTTTGGGTAAAACTTTGGGTATCAGCTGTATGTTTGTTTACTGCACTATAAATAAATATTATGAGACCCTATCTGTAGGTGACAGACCTTGATCTGGCCGTCCCCGCACTGTGAGAACGGCAAATGCAGTGAGAAGAAATATCATTCGAAAACAACAAATCATGTCTCGAGAAATAGGAATCTCTGTCTCGTTGTCTCGATTAATAAAAAGTGACCTTAGGATGGGTGCATTTTGAAAATGATAGGACAAAGGCTTACCACTTCCCTAAAAGAAAATAGGGTGTATAGATGCTGTTACGCCAATGGTCTTCATCAAAAGATTTTGTTAAGCGATGGGAAAATTTTTACAATTGAAGAAAAATTGAATCACCAAAATGATCATGTGTACTCACACAGCTCTAAAGAAGCCCATGAAGTAATTTAAGAGTTTAAAGAGGTCATCACCCTTCCTCAGTGATGGTTTTGTGGGGAGTTTGCTTCGGTGGCACCACAAAGCTGTATTTTTCTGAAAAAGGAGTTAAAACAGCCGCTAAAAACGATAATCGGCTTTGGTCCGAACTGGAGAACTGGAATGCATGCCACAGAGCACACCCTAACTTGGAATGCTTCAAACAATCTCTGGTTCGAGCAGTTGAACGCTTTTCTCAAGGAGTGCTACTATTGACGACTGGCCACAGAGAATAAATGCCTGTGGCAAGGCAAATGGGGTACATTTTGAGTAATCTCTTTTTTGTTTTGCTGTCTATAGATATACACTTTATTTTGTAATAAAGTTTTTGAAAAATTAATTTTTCTGTTGAAATCTGTATATATTTCGTTGTAGCAATATTTATGACAGGACTAGGTATGTTACGGTACTGTCGACTCTGACCACACTATCAGTCCCCTCCACACCTCCAAGATACACTATACTATTATTTCAAGTTTTCAGCTAAATATGAACTTTTTTATTATTATTTAAAAAGTGCAGCCTCATAAATTTCTACTATTTTTATCCAGTCAAATACCTACATCTTAAGTTGATTTATTTTTGTTCGATGTAATAACTCACTGTTGGAACTTAGTCACAGTTAATACAACTGTTTATTGTGTATTTTGTAATTTAGTTTCATAATAATTTTTGAAAACTTTATTTAAGGTCACCGCAGATGGAAGTATCGACTGCTGTAAGAACCCAGGTGATCAGGAGACTTATGTTTTACCCTTGCATTATGCTGAAATGGTTGCAGCTCTGAATATTCTTTCTCCTGGTAGGGAATTTTTAATAAAAATATAATTATTATTAAATCTTACCAGTTTTTATATAATTGTTAAATAAACTTTTATTGTTTATAGGTGGCAATTTTGTTATAAAAATATTTACAATTTATGAATGCGAAACGATCTGCCTTCTCTATCTTCTTTGTTGTGTTTTCAAACATGTTTCGGTTCACAAACCTGTTGTGAGCAAGGAAGGGAATTCAGAAGTGTACGTTATCTGCTTGGATTACGGTGGAAAAGATAAGTGCCAAAGTATTTTGGACAGTGCTGACTATTACGGCAGGTTTCCAAACGTCCTATTCAGGAAAGAAGATCTTCCCAAGTCATTTATTGAACAAATTATCAAATGTTCCAAATTTTTTACTGACACTCAGGTATGTTTTATTTTACTTCAAAGTGTTATTTTTATCCCTCTTCTTCCCCTTAAATAATGGACTAATTAATTACTTTTTTATTCGTTTAGGCACTAATCAATCAATAGGGGTATTCATGCACTTATTGTAAATGCTTAATGTGCTATCATGCTAAGCAGTCAGCACAAATTTTGAATGAATGATAAATAACCTGTCTGTGCTAACGTGTTATTAGTTATAGTTATGAATATACTACAAATAAAGTTTGTGAGTTCTTTATTGAGCTATTAATGTTTTGATTTATTTTTAAAATGCCAAAGGGAAGTGAAAAACCGAGTTGCTGGATTATTTGTTAATTATTAATGGATTATTTTCTGGTTAAAAATACTTTATTAGAAATCATGTGTGAAGATTCAGATGATTTAGAAGGCACAGAACTTGATGAATAAATATGTAAATGAAATCCTAGCTGTCCGTACATTCCATTTCTGTGGATGTTGTACACAAACAAAGAACAAAGAATCAAATACATCAAAACAATAATAATAACCTTCACCGTGTGTTTATGAAGTTTGCAACACTTTACAGGACACTAGGCTGCGTTAAAATCGAGAGTTCTAGCGGCCATATTTAGCAAACATATCATAAATAATTTTTTTGACTTAACACATTGAAGAGATTTACAATACTTAACACTGGTTACATGAAAACTCCTATTTTTTTAAGTTAAAAAACTCAATTCTACGATTTATATACTTATGTCCTTATTTCAAAGCTATTTATCTATAGTACCTAATTTAAGGATGTTTGATTGTTTTTCTGATATTTATATATACATATTTATAAATTGTCAATGATTTGTTAATTGATTTCTAATTAGTAATTTAATTTTTCCACTCCTAAATATTTTCTTGAATTTTTTTTTAAAAACGGAGATAACTTTTGTTCAGGGTCGATCTGTAATTGAGCAAATGCAGATAAATTTGTTATATGAAAAATAAATTTATGTAAAGTAAATTAAGATAATAATACTGAGGTTATATCCAGCAGATCCATTTAATGCAATAGTCGAGTCATCGGTGATTCGGTCGATGAATAAAGGAACATGCTTAATTGCATCATTAAGTTTATGAATGATCTGATACATTTCCAATACCATTGATGAGCTTAGCCCTTAGTTTAGAAGCTTTCCCATAACATCCATATTTAATATTAATAAAGTAAATAATATTTATAGTCAAGAAATAATACTTTTTTATTTAGCACTAAGTCCAAAATCATCTATTGTTTTTAGATATTTTTTATTGATTTATATTTGATAACAGAAGCATCATGTCTGAAAAATAGCTTTAGACTTATTGGACAAATAAACTTTTTTTATTGGACAAATATTGACTAATTTAAAATTTGTTTTTGTTTTTTTAGATATCAATTATAGAGGGAAATATTAACTCATATCAATCCGAACTTAGCAAGAAAAAGAAAGTATCGTTGTGGAAAGTTAGAACTAAAGTTGCAGAAAAATTTTTGCAATCATTTAATATTTATCCTTTGATAGATCCTTCGGAATATGTGCTCGGAGGCCTTTATCTAGTAAGTATCTTAAAATATAACATTATAAATTATAAAGGAAGGAGATGGTCTGGGATGGCAGTCATAATTAATGACAAAACTATGTTATTAAAAGCCAACGTTTCGACCCGACTTTGCAGGTCTTCTTCAGGGATAGAACGGACAAGATACAAAAAGATATAGAGAATTGTGGAAGTTAAATAATTTTTGGTCTAAATATTATGTAACTTCCACAATTCTCTATATCTTTTTGTATCTTGTCCGTTCTAGAGACCTGCAAAATTGTTGGCTTTTAATAAAATAGTTTTGTCACTATTTAGCCTATTTATGACCGCCACCCTGGACCATCTCCTTCCTTTATGATGCAACGGTCAATTATTAAATATTCAATATAAATTATAAATACTGCTTGTTTAAGAAGTCAGTAGACGAGGAGTGAGGAGGGAGGAGAGGAGAGATAGGGAGGTGTGGTCAAAAACTAGAATTTATTTTTATTGGTTGCCTACATTCCGATATAGCATATAGTTCTTCCGATCTGCCCATTTGGGGTCTTCAGGTTCTAGCTTCTTCAGAGGAGCAAATGGGCTAACTTGTGTAAAACGTGTTGTCTGGCATCCAGATGAAGTTACAAGTTCAAACTTGTAATTCTGGTTCCTGAGCGACTTTTAACTCTGGCTACCAGTGTACAGATGTGTTTTTAGACATGTCTACCAACTTAACTATGAAAAACTGCCTGAATTCGACCAATACTTACAATAAATTTATAAATATAAAATTTTCTATTAATTTTTTAAACCTATTACTGTATGTTTTACAGATTATTATCTTGTCCTTTTGGTTTATTATTTTCAATAATGAACCATTGTGATCACCAAAAAATTCAAAAACATAACCCCCTCTCAAAATTTGAGGTTTCACGTTTCAAGATGCGTAGAATTCGAAAAACGAATAAAAATTTGTTTGGCCGTCCGCACATTTTCTCCGAAACTACTGGACCGATTTTTTTTCAAATTTGGGTTTAAAATCAGAGGTCACCCGAGGATGATCCTCCTTCATCGACATTACTATCCGCCTTTTACTTTCAAGATGGCGACCGAAAATCCTGCGTTGCTATAGACTGTAGCGCCTAAACGAATGTGCCGATTTTAATGAAACTTGGCTAAAGTCTTCTTCTTGATGCCCTTTAAATTTATCTATATATCATACTTCGACGTAAAGAAGCTAGAAAAAAAGTTACGAGGGATGGTAAAATTAGATTCCGAAAAACTCGAAAAGTATACACTTTTTGTATAATATTGTGATAAGATGTTTCAAAGGTATTCAAATTTTCTAAAAAATGAAATTTCATCGAAATCAAAGAACTATTAGTAGAGATATCGTAATTTTAAAATATTTTTGGTTTATTATTTTCAATAATGAACCATTGTGATCGACCAAAAAATTCAAAAACATAACCCCCTCTCAAACTTTGAGGTTTCACGTTTTTTAATTTATTTTATTTCTTTTTTATCTAAATTTTTTAAATTTGCAAATCATTTTTGTAGTCGAATCCTTTACAACTGGACCAAAAGAATGAAGATGGCTCTTTTGAAGACAGAATTGAATCAATACAACCCGCAAAAAGATCACTCCTCTTAAATTACCAAAGAAGCTTAGAACCGTTACAGATGGCATGGGATTGGTCTTTTATATATTGGATTAAAAGTTGGACTTGCAAGGTTAGTAGAATAGTTTTGTATATTTTTATTTTTTGATGTTCTTGAATGTTTCTCTTATGAAAAATGAAATGTAAAATATCTTTAATTATTATTATTATTAATTATTATGGGACTGAAATCCTTTAATAAAAACTATGAGTACATTTTATGTTGGGCTTAACAGTCCCGCCATGTTGTCTTAAACTTAATATTTTTCTATTCATTAATATGAAAAGTATGGAACAAGAAAAGGGAAAAAAGTATATCCTGGAAGAAAATATTGAAAAAAAACAAAACAGCAACATAGAAAATAAGAAAACTATATGAAGTAATTCGAATAATTAGAGAAAACTCTAACATGGCGTTGTGTTAAGATACAATTTTGAATAATAGCTCATTAAAAAAGAATATGAAATGATAAACATTTTTCTTGCTAACAATATGCAGGTCTGATTTTTAGTTTTTGAGATATTTTAATCTATATGAAAAAACACTTCAATTAGTCGCTTCCATCTGACTTTACCCGAGGGTTATACCTCGGAAATCTTATGGCATAATCTAATTCACTCTCTATAAAAAAGTGCAAAATGTGTCTAAAGAAGTTTCCACTTCAATAATATTATAATTACGGAGTTGAGTTCTGATAACCTGCAACAAGGAAATATCGGCATCTGTAGGATGAGTAGAGCCACTATAACTTGGCCCACATACTGGAACTTTAGGATCTTCTGATGTTCGACAGAGATATGTCCTATCTCATGTTCTGAAATGCCTTTAGTTGTTTCTCCACAATATTTTTTTTTTTTTTCATCATCCAATTTTTTGAAAAAACAAATCCAACAAACGAGAACAATCAGGACGACATATCACAAACAAACAAAATGGACTTTAACTACTACTACAAAATGACATACATACCTAACTTACCAACAAAATTAAAGATGTGTTCAAAAATTATGACTTAACAGAAATTAAACTCGGGCAATATAATAACAAGAAACTAAGGACGCACATCACCAACACAAAGGATAAAATAGAACCAATAAACAAGAAAAATGTAATATATAAATTAAACTGACCCAAAATCTACATTGGTGAAACATGCAAGCAATTAGGAACTAGAATCTCACAACATATCACCAACTGTAAAAATACAAAAAACATAAACACAACAGCCTTAGTATATCACAGTATAAAATTACAGCATAAATTTAACTTTAACAAACCACAGATAATAGGCACAGAACCAAAAAACACCAATAGGAAATTACTTGTAGCAATACACATCACAAAAAACAATAGAACAACAGTCAACTACAAAACAGACACTAAACATGAACTCATTCTAGAGAATGAACTAGATTGAGCTGCCAGATTTCAGATGTGTAACGCTTGGGTAGTTGGCTGGAGTCGACTAATTGAAGTATTTTTGTATTTGAATTAAAATATCTCAAAAACTAAAAATTGGTCATGCATATTTTTGGTGAGAGAAATGTTAATAATTTCATTCTCATTGTCAAGGAAAAAAATATTGTCGAAAACCGATTTTCCCGGGCCAGGGGGTGTGGGCGGGGATTTAAAAGACTACACCGGCACCGGGATGCGAACTCGTGACTATTTCAAATCCATTGTCTAGTAGATCAGGTTGCCAGGCAACGGCACACATGTTAGCCCGTTCGGCCACCCGCCTACCTGATAACGAGTTTTATGAAATATTTCAGAAAATAAAAATCGGACCTGTATACTGTAAGCAAGAGAAATGTTCAGCATTGCTTCCTATTTTAGTGAGCTATTATTTATAATTTATATTTCATATTATTAATCTCACCTTGTTAATGTTTTCGCTTCTATTATGTGGTCTAACATAATACATAGTTTTTTTACAACATAGTTTTTTTTTATTTTCTATTATTTATTATTCTATTTCTATCTTCTATTATTATTTATCTTCTATTAGTTTTGTTACAACATAGTTTTTTTTTATCTTCTATTATTTTTCAGAATCCTATTTACTTGACTTGTATATATTTTTTCTTATTTTTCTTCCTTAAACTGTGACTTATTGTAATTGAAGTTGTATTTATTATATTTTAATACCCAATAACTTTGCATGTAATTATTTATTATTCTATTTTTATCTTCTATTATTATTTATCTTCTATTAGTTTTGTTACAACATAGTTTTTTTTTATCTTCTATTATTTTTCAGAATCCTATTTACTTAACTTATATATATATATATATATAAGTATATTTTTTTTTTCATCATCCAATTTTTTGAAAAAACAAATCCAACAAACGAGAACAATCAGGACGACATATCACAAACAAACAAAATGGACTTTAACTACTACTACAAAATGACATACATACCTAACTTACTTACAAAATTAAAGATATGTTCAAAAATTATGACTTAACAGAAATTAAACTCGGACAATATAATAACAAGAAACTAAGCAGGCACATCACCAACACAAAGGATAAAATATAACCAATTAACAAGAAAAATGTAATATATAAATTAAATTGTCAAAACTGACCTAAAATCTACATTGGTGAAACATCCAAGCAATTAGGAACTAGAATCTCACAACATATCACCAACTGTAAAAATACAAAAAACATAAACACAACAGCCTTAGCATATCACAGTATAAAATTACAGCATAAATTTAACTTTAACAAACCACAGATAATAGGCACAGAACCAAAAAACACCAATAGGAAATTACTTGTAGCAATACACATCACAAAAAACAATAGAACAACAGTCAACTACAAAACAGACACTAAACATTTAGGAACTCATTGAACAAAATTAAAGTTTAATAGAAGTGAAATTACAGATACATAAAATAAACATTAACAATAATAAAAATAGTCAGATAAAACAGTCAGATCCAAAGGTCATTTTTTTCACTATGGCAGATATCCAATTATTGGTCAAAAGCAGGTTGTTGCTCTAGATGATACATTTTAGAACATGAATTAGAAATTTGATGATGGAGCACATTATTATTATTAATTTTAAGGTAATTACAAATTTATTGTAACAACAAAATTCAAACATGTAATGTAACAAGCACAATATTATAACTCAAAAAATTTTTAGCCTTGCATCCACAAGATTATTGGGATTGCAGTTCCGAAGATGGGAATAAATATCCCGAAACGTCAACTAACTTGTTAACATGTAACGTTGATAATAGAAATATACTCAATTGTTACCAATTGGAAGTTATTATTGCCAAATAAGTAAAAATAAATAGACAACTTCCCAGAAAAAACAAATAAGTAAAAATTTTTTTTTAAGTGGAAAGTTCTTTAGGAACTTCTGTGGAGAATGAAGTAGATTGAGCTGTCAGATTTCAGATGTGTAATGCTTGGGTAGTTGGCTGGAGTTGACTAATTGAAGTGTTTTTGTATTTGAATTAAAATATCTCAAAAACTAAAAATTGGACGTGCATATTTTTAGTGAGAGAAATGTTAATCATTTCATTCTCTTTGTATTGAGCTATTATTCAAAATTGTATCTTAATGTGATGCTGTGTTAGAGAGGTGTAAAGGAAAAAAATATTGTCGAAAACCGATTTTCCCGGGCCAGGGGGTGTGGGCGGGGATTTAAAAGACTACACCGGCACCGGGATGCGAACTCGTGACTATTTCAAATCCATTGTCTAGTAGATCAGGTTGCCAGGCAACGGCACACACAAAAATATTGGGCCGTTTGTCCTATATAACCTCGTTATTTTGAAAATTTGGGGCCAAGAAGCTCAATATTTTTGAAGGCCACCTTTTTTCTCAACTTTGTGATCAAATTATCTTATGATCCAAGTAGAAAGCAAATGGGTATTTACGAGTTTTTAGTACCTAATACCTATTCCCCTAGAGGGGAAAACGAGAAGAGACAGAGTACGCAACACCACCATCAGATCGAACCTCAATATTAAGCCGGCCAATGATGTGATAGAAGAGAATCGACTGAGATGGCTAGGAAATCTTCTGCAGATGGAACCAAACAGAATAGCTAGCGAAGCCTACCGAGCTAAAGTAGAGTGCAAGAGAGGAAGAGGACGGCCTAGAAGGAAATGGGAAGATGACGTAAAGAGCGATAAGTAAAAATAAATAGACAACTTCCCAGAAAAAACAAATAAGTAAAAATTTTTTTTTAAGTGGAAAGTTCTTCAGGAACTTCTGTGGAGAATGAACTAGATTGAGCTGCCAGATTTCAGATGTGTAACGCTTGGGTAGTTGGCTGGAGTCGACTAATTGAAGTATTTTTGTATTTGAATTAAAATATCTCAAAAACTAAAAATTGGTCATGCATATTTTTGGTGAGAGAAATGTTAATAATTTCATTCTCTTTGTATTGAGCTATTATTCAAAATTGTATCTTAATGTGATGCTGTGTTAGAGAGGTGTAAAGGAAAAAAATATTGTCGAAAACCGATTTTCCCGGGCCAGGGGGTGTGGGCGGGGATTTAAAAGACTACACCGGCACCGGGATGCGAACTCGTGACTATTTCAAATCCATTGTCTAGTAGATCAGGTTGCCAGGCAACGGCACACATGTTAGCCCGTTCGGCCACCCGCCTACCTGATAACGAGTTTTATGAAATATTTCAGAAAATAAAAATCGGACCTGTATACTGTAAGCAAGAGAAATGTTCAGCATTGCTTCCTATTTTAGTGAGCTATTATTTATAATTTATATTTCATATTATTAATCTCACCTTGTTAATGTTTTCGCTTCTATTATGTGGTCTAACATAATACATAGTTTTTTTACAACATAGTTTTTTTTTATTTTCTATTATTTATTATTCTATTTCTATCTTCTATTATTATTTATCTTCTATTAGTTTTGTTACAACATAGTTTTTTTTTATCTTCTATTATTTTTCAGAATCCTATTTACTTGACTTGTATATTTTTTTTCTTATTTTTCTTCCTTAAACTGTGACTTATTGTAATTGAAGTTGTATTTATTACATTTTAATACCCAATAACTTTGCATGTAATTATTTATTATTCTATTTTTATCTTCTATTATTATTTATCTTCTATTAGTTTTGTTACAACATAGTTTTTTTTTATCTTCTATTATTTTTCAGAATCCTATTTACTTAACTTATATATATATATATATATATATATATATATATATATATATATATATATATACATATATATATATATATATATATATATATATTTTTTTTTTTTTTTCTTCCTTAAACGTGACTTATTGTAATTGAAGTTGTATTTATTATATTTTAATGCCCAATAACTTTGCATGTAATTATACGTACATATAAATTTTTACTTACAGGAAAATAATGCGTCTGATTTTACTATTATAAAAGGTCAACCTATTAGTTCAATAAGAAGTTCCAAATTCTGCAAGGGAAGCTTGTTGAAGGTGGTCAACGATCTGCAGAACTACCAAGTACCTGAGCTCTTTTTGCATAATGATAGTACCTCTTTGGCTAAGTGAGTTTTGTTGGCATATTACAGTATGATTATTATTTTATTTTATTTGAAAGAATGACATATTTATTCAGTGCCAGATGTGTAAATATCAAATCAGAATTGTCCATAGTAGATGGTTCTAGTTGTTAATAAAGTAACCATTGCTTATTATTGGTGCTATTTTGTTTCTTCAATAGCTGGCAAAGATTTTCAACTCATAACAATATAAACTTTATTTAACAGTGTTGTTTTAATAATGTTAAAAGTGTCGAGTTTAGTACCTACAAATTATGTTTTGTCCACAAATTAAATATTAGTTTTCTATTATCATTTAAAGAAAACTTCTGCAAAGGAATGCTTGTCGAAGCTTACAGCGAGGTAAGTTTTGGTAAATTTCACAATGTTTTCAGTCATTTAAATGTGGCTATTGTGATCTGAGAAATGAAGAATGTGGAACATGGATATGATCTCTTATGAGCTATTAAAACCTGGGAAAACTCTTTAAATTGAACATTATCAACATGAATTGATCAGTCGTCGATTTGAATTGAGTATTTGCATGAAAAATTACCAGAATATAAAAAAAGACAATACAAAATGAGTTTTCTTTATGATGATGAACCATCACTCATAGGAAAACCAGTGAAGGAAATGGTTGAGGTGTCCAGCTGAGAAATATTAGCATATGCAGCTTACTCACCGGACTTGACTTCCATCCGACTACTATTTATTTCCATCGATGGAGCAGGCACTTGTTCAGCTGTGTTTCATTTCTTATGAAAATATACAGAAATTACTTGATGACTGGACCAAAGACCAATTTTTTTCTAGAATGTGGCATTCATAAATTGCCAGAAAGATGGGAAAATATATAGCAAGCAATGTGCAATATTTTGAATAAAATATTTTCTAACGTTTCTTCACAATAAGTGTTTATTTTCTATACAAAAATTTCGGTTTCATGTTTACACATCTGGTATGTGTCTACTTAACTTCTTAACTATTGCATTCATATAAAACGATTCATTAAGAAATTTCAATTTTTATATTTTCAGATTAAATGAAGAACTCTCTTCATTAAATTTGGAATATTTAATCTGCAATGTAGGTAACAATTCATGGTTATCCAACTACCACAAGGCTCAGCGTGAATGCTTGAAATCCTTAATCTGCCATCTGAGGGATATCAAACGAACCATGTCATTTGTTTTGACGGGGCTTCCTCTTCTGACGCAATTCAATATCGGCCTACTCTATGCTTTAGGACTATCATTTAGCGAGGTATTTTAGTTTTTATTTTCTTACTTTAACTGAGTATTGTTAGTGAAGTTATATTATCTTTTAATGTGTTCACCTCAACAAATGACTAACATTCAGAAATAGACCAGCATATAACAAATGTAATCACAGCTTTCTTCTTTCTTTCAAAGGTATTGGAACCTCAAAAAAATCTTCAGAAATCTTAAATTAAGGGTGTACAATGCTATGATAAAGTCAGTTCTAATTGACAGCTGTGAAACCTGGAAATACCTGTGCTATTGAAAGGTTTGAGAGAAAACGTATACAATAACCAGAGCGATCTGGGATAAGAGCACTAATATATGAGGACCAAAAAAGAACTGCTTATCTACTGATCAATCAATATCTCGTGATATGAAGGCAAGGCAGTTAAGATGGGTAGGGTATTTAGCTCAAAATACATCAGGAAAACTCTAGAGAACATAGTCCGTGGTACAGACCCCTTGTTTTCGAATTATTAACATCCGCCTGAAACTTCATAAACAGTTTCATCTCATCTTAACCTACAACTATTTTATTTACGAAAACTCTTAGAATTGGAGCGTTTTCAATCTGGAGCGGGGAGCAAACTTTGTCTTTCATTAGGTACTATCATCATCATCATAATCCATCCTCTTGAACCGCATTAAGCAGTGTGAGGAGGAAGTTTATAGAGCCTTCTCCAGCTCTGCCGGTCTTCCACAAGACGCCTTCTATCGTTCCATTGAAGACCTCTTCTCTGGAAATCGCTCTTTACCTCATCTTCCCATTTCCTTCTAGGCCGTCCTCTTCCTCTCTTGCCCTCTACTTTAGCTCGATAGGCTTCGCTAGCTATTCTGTTTGGTTCCATCTGCAGAAGATTTCCTAGCCATCTCAGTCGATTCTCTTCTATCACATCATTGGCCGGCTTAATATTGAGGTTCGATCTGATGGTGGTGTTGCGTACTCTGTCTCTTCTCGTTTTCCCCTCTAGGGGAATAGGTATTAGGTACTAAAAACTCGTAAATACCCATTTGCTTTCTACTTGGATCATAAGATAATTTGATCACAAAGTTGAGAAAAAAGGTGGCCTTCAAAAATATTGAGCTTCTTGGCCCCAAATTTTCAAAATAACGAGGTTATATAGGACAAACGGCCCAATATTTTTTAAGGCTACCTTTTTTCTCGAATTTTTTATCAAATAATCTTACGATCCAAGTAGAAAGTAAATGGGTATTTACAAGTTTTTAATACCTAATTAAATAGACAAAGTTTGCCCACCTTTAGATTGAAAATGCCCCAATTCCAAGAGTTTTCATAAATAAAATAGTTATAGGTTACGATGAGATGAAGCTATTTACAAAGTTTCAGGCGGATGTTAATAATTCGATAAAAAGAGATCTGTACCACTAACAGTTGATGCTTCAATAGTTCACAATAGATGATATCTGAGGCCAAAAAACAAGTGGATAGATCAAATTAGCAAAGATAGTGTTACATGCAGACCACTAGATACCAATAGCACAAGATAGGCAGAGCTGTAGATGGCTGTCAAAGATCGTTTAAAAAAATTGAGGAAAGAGATGGTACAGGATGGCAGTCTTAAATTAGTGAAAAATCTATTTTATTTTAAGCCGACTTTTCAACCCAACTATGCAGGTCTTCTTCAGGGCTAGAACCAGAGATGGGCAAATGCTTCTCTGTTTATCGAGTACCAAGTATTTTACTAAAATTGAATCACTATTGGGCATTCAACCACTACTTCAGTTAATCGTCTGACATCAACTGAAGTAGTAAATAAATTCTTTAGTACTCAAAAAAGGTCAGTATTTGAGTAGGATACATGTTACTCAGTAATCAGAGTAGCATTTGCCCATCTTTGGCTTGAAGGATATCTTGTTCGTTCTAGCCCTGAAGAATACTTGTAAAGTCAGGTTGAAACGTTGGCGTTAAATAAAATAGATTTTTCACTAATTTAAGACGTCTTATGACCACCACCTCGAACCATCTCCTTTCTCAATAATACACAGTGGCCAACAATCGAGTATTCAATTAAAAAAGTAAGATAAACAAATTATATTTGAATCAAGAAAGTTAAAAATTATTTATTCGATTTTGTGCCATTAAAATAACTTCGATTTAGTCCCATTAAAATAACTTGTCTTTAGTATTGATACAGATTTCAAAAGTGTGGAATTTTTTACTCAATTTTAATAGTAACAAGAATAAAACCTTTGTGACCACCAATCATAACCTGCTAAAAACGGGATGATTTTAAATGTAGCTAGTCAATGTGACAAAAATCATTATTTGTAGATGATTGAAAAACTAATTGTACCGGTGGCCATTATAATGCAGATCTGTACTGAATGTATTTCTCGTTGAATCATCTTTAGGCTTATGCACACAAAATGCAATAGTTCACAGCCTATGTTTGTGGATAACTGTGGTAGATCACATTCTGCGTGACTCCCACAGGAGAAGAGACAATGTTACAATCATTGTAAGCCCACCTTGTGGAGAGATCACCAATAGCATTCTGTGTTGGTTACAATTTTATATTGATTTCGAGTTAATTTAGTTTGTTCAAGCACTATTATTTACTGTTTTATTCTAGGTTGGCATAATTTCTCCTGAAATCGGTTATGCAGTCATCTTTAAGAATCTGTTGAATTTTGAATTTATGAAGAAATTACAGGAGCTCAATGAGAATTTAAACATATCGGAATCAGGCATACTGTCTATTTGCCCGATATCTCGATTTCTTGGTAACTATTTTGCTGATTTTAACTATTTTTTTTATTTATGTATATGAATAAATATGTTTTGCTGATGTCAAGTATACGTAATATGAATTAGGGAAAGGATAATTACCTAATGTGAGATTTCTCACTGGAGTGTACTAGCTAATTAATAATTTTAAATGCTAATTTTTTTGGTAGTTTTTATTTATTTGTTTTTCAAAATTTAGTATTTCTTTAGTAGTATAGAATAATGTATTTATGATTTTTTTTTTTGTGACAATGCACTGCGGCCATAAAGGCATATAGTACGCCCATAATAGTGTCGTTCTTATTCAGAGCCTTATTCCAGCAGGCTCTACAAACTGAAGTAGTCCTGTTGTATTGACAAACTCATTTGTCTTGGGGTCAAACACCCTGTCATTGCTGTATAATCGTAATCTTAACTCAGCAAGGCTGTCGAAGAGAGCTCCTGCTTAAGCTTATTAATAGATTGCTCCTTTTAGCACAGATTCCATCCAGGAATAATCTTTTATATAATCTGTTCCACCAATACAGTCTCTATTTATAATGAAATCAGATTTTTTTTTTTTTTTTTCCAGAAGGTGAATTATACAGCTGTATAACAACATGTAATCATTTAGTAATAAAGAAATCAGCACTTGAAACAATCAAAACCTTACTTGAAGGTATGCCACAGTCGGATGCAGTTGAGAACTAAACCATGAACTATTGGTAATGATTACCTGCTATGGAAAGTTAAATATAATTTAGTTACTATACTTAAGATATTATTTAAGTTATTTTGTCTCATGAAACATTTAGTTGAAATTTTATGTCCTTAATTGATTTATATATTTTAAATCACACAAGTATTTAGGGAAGATGCTTGTATTGCTGAGGGAATGGTAGCACTGGTTGCAAAATGTGGTACTAAAAAAAACTCCATCCACTGTAACATCAATTCAGTTTTCTTGGGTACTCCGTTGTATAAAATTAAAAATAATTTCTTTTCAATAAATAAAAAATTGAATTGACTGTGAAAAGATATATTTTTTTTATTTACTATATATATATATATATTTTTCTCATAGCGCTACAACCCGGTTACAGGTCTTGTCCTCCTCCAGTCGTCACCAACAATATACCAAATACTTGCAAAGTCTTTGCCGAGGCCATCCAATACCTAACTCCCAACATCCTAACGCCGTAGGCGTCTCCCGCCACACCATCTGACCATCTCAGCTTTAGTCTCCCTCCTCTCCTTGTTCCATGGATTAGCTGTGTAAGCAATATTTTAGGTATTTCCCCGTCTGCCATCCTAGAAACATACCCTGCATACCTTAAGCGCTCAACTCCATTGCTTTCACAATGTCAGCTTCTCCAAAAGCATTGTCTGGAAAGTATCCGCCTGCTTAGCTGCTTGCTTAGTCCAAAGCAGCATTTGCTGGCTGCTGTTATCCTTTTTCTTCTTTATATATCGGGATTATTATCTTGAGTGACCACAGATCCCAGATAAGTAAACTCAGAGACCTTCTCAAATTTATAAAGCCCAATAGTTACTGCCTCGTCTGGCATGGGAATTTCATCCGCTACCATATATTTTGTTTTTGACTCATTATTTACTATATTTAGATTAATTAAAATATTTTTACAAATTATGACATTATTTTATAATTGTCTTTGATTAAAAAGAGTTTAAATCATAATTTTTCTTTTTCTTTTTTTATTTTATTTTAATAAAATTTACAACTGTATTACATAGAAAATACAACAAGTAAATGTGACATTGGTCCTCGCGCGGGCTCATTACCGCGTATGGGGAGCGTCCCACGGGTGGCGGATGTGGGGATGGTCGGTGGAAATTCCTTGGAAGTTCCTCCCGGCTAAGTCCGATGGACTCGCTGACCAACAATGAGAGGGGCCCTCCAGACTTGCTGGAGGGAGGGGACCTCCAGACTTGCTGGAGGTAGGGGCCCACCAGACTTGCTGGAGGGTGTGACGTAGGATTGAACGCCCTACTCACATATCTTTAGTTCACCAAACACCACAAAAAGTCATGGATCTCCCTAAGGTAAAACGCTCATTATCCGGAGGTAAACTAGTCCCCCGTTCGGGTCTCCGGGTGGGGACTGCTTTAGGGGATTCATGCCGCAAGTTGAAATATAGGGATTTAAATATTGGTACGTGGAACGTAAGGAGTTTAAACACAGCAGGGGGGCTAAAATCGGTCGCGAATGAGGTAAATGGGTACAATTTGGATGTCGTGGCTCTGCAAGAGGTTCGCTGGCCAGGGGAGGGCTCGATGAGGGAAGGAAAGTACACTATTTGGTACGGAGGAAGCGGGAATCATTGTTTAGGTACCGGGTTTCTAATTAGGAGTAGATTACTATCCGCTTTGAGCGACGTACAATTCTTTAGTGATAGAATTTCGGTAGCTACATTTCAGGGACGTTGGTTTAAAATCGCATTAATAAACATACATTGTCCGACCGAAGACAGTGACGATGAAGTCAAAAATGAATTTTACGATAAACTCGAATGGGTTTATGATAAACTACCGCGAAACTACATGAAAATAATTGTAGGTGACGCGAACGCAAAGGTAGGAAGGGAAGAAGTTTATATTCAGACGATTGGTAAAGAAAGTTTGCACGAATATAGTAATGATAATGGGATCCGTCTGATAAACTTTGCCATCTCGAAAAACCTGGTAATTAAAAGTACGACGTTTAAACGTAAGGATATTCATAAATATACTTGGACATCGCCGGATTCGCAAACACGAAATCAAATCGATCATGTCTTGATACAACACAGCTGGCAAAGCAGTATAATCAATGTACGGTCTTATCGCGGAGCAGAATGTGGGTCGGATCATGAATTAGTAATCGCGAAACTTCGACAAAAACTTAATATAAAAAAGAGAAAAGAAAACCGTTTCGATTTTGAGAATTTTAATTTGGAAAAATTAAAAAATCCATCAATTAGAAACCAATTCGAGCTAGATGTTAAGAATAGGTTTGAAGCTTTAGAGCTTCCTGACGAGGACCACGAGGATATTGACAAGTTATGGGTAGAGATCAGGGATAATATTAAAGCGGTCGGTAACTCGTGTCTAGGAAAAAAGGAAAATAAGAATAACAAACCGTGGTTTGATGAAGATTGCTTAAACATGTGCGAAAAAAGGAAAGCCGCTAAATTAAAAGCTCTAAATAATCCTAGCGAAGACAGTCTGGAATACTTCCGAATCTCAAAGAACGAAACGACAAAATTGCTCAAAAATAAAAAAAGGGAGTATCTTAAAAATAAAATAATTGAAATAGAAACTAATAGAATCGAAAATAACGTAAGAGACATGTACAAAGGTATAAACAGATCACGTAAATATGTAGGGCCCGTAACGTCTGGAATTAGGGATGATAATAACAATATTCTGACCGATCCGGTTGACATATTGAATAAATTTAAGGACCACTTTGTCAATATTTTAAATACGGGAAATTATGATCTGTGTCCTCCTTCTGAGTACCAGAGTGCTGAACCGTTGATAGAAGGACCAAGTAAAGAGGAAGTTGAAGTAGCTATCGGTAAATTAAAATCATATAAAGCAGCGGGAATCGATAATATTCCTACTGAACTAATTAAGGCATGCGGGGAAGCTGGAGTTTCTAAAATACATCGCTTGGTTGAAAAGATCTGGGTGAACGAGAAATTACCTGAAGAATGGAAAGAATCTATTCTTATTCCGATTCACAAAAAGGGTCCGAGGACGGATTGTAATAACTATCGAGGAATTTCACTCCTTCCGGTATGTTATAAAATATTCACTGTAATCTTAACCAGTCGAATCACGGAATACGCCGAGGAAATTATCGGAGACTACCAATGCGGATTTAGACGGAATCGTTCGACCATTGATCAAATATTTTCTTTACGGCAAATATTAGAGAAAAAATTGGAGTATAACGGTATTGTTCACCAGCTGTATATAGATTTTAAAAAGGCTTACGATTCTATTGACCGCCAGAAACTGTATAATATTCTAATCGAGCAGGGAATTCCAAAAAAACTAGTAAATCTAGTCAGGATGTGCTTGACGGAGACACTCAATAAAGTTAGAATCGGTAATAATTTGTCCGAAAAATTTGAGGTTCGTTCGGGCTTAAAACAGGGGGATTCTCTTTCGCCTGTCCTGTTCAATTTGGCATTAGAACATGCCATTAGGGAGGTAATGCGTACCGAGAAAGGATTGGATCTGGGCGGGACAACATCCGTGCTGGGCTATGCTGATGATCTGGTACTGTTAAGCGAAGACGTTGAAACTATAAAACTAAATACGACAACGTTAATGAAAGCCGGTAAAGAACTAGGACTCAAAATAAACGTGGATAAAACAAAATATATGGTTAGCTGCAAAAATGGCGATACTACTGGTGACATCGATATAGATGGTAATATGTTTGAACAGGTAGATAAATTTAGGTATCTAGGTTCTACGATAACTAGAAAAAACGAAATTGAAGAAGAGATTAAAGTAAGACTGAAGGCGGGGAATGCTTGTTATTTTTCTGTGACAAAACTACTCAGTTCGCGCCTCTTGTCCCGAAACTTAAAAATTAGAATCTATAAAACAATTATCTTGCCTACAGTTCTTTATGGATGCGAAACTTGGCCGCTTACATTAAGGGATGAGCAGCGTCTTAAGGTTTTTGAAAATAAAGTATTGCGTAGAATATTCGGACCGAAGAAGGATGAGTTAACCGGAGAGTTCAGACGGTTACACAACGCCGAATTGCGTGAGCTATATCCGGGTAATATAATTGAGGTAATTTCATCGCGACGAATCAAATGGGCTTGTAAAGTTGTTGGGCTTAGTAACGAGAGGATTCCTAAAAGGTTAATATTTGCTGTGCCGAATGGTAAGCGTCGGAGGGGTAGACCGAAGCGAAGGTGGGAAGATTGCATTAAAGCTGATCTGAAGGGACTGGGTTTGGACGGCGAACGGTGGAGGGAGGTGTGTAACAAGCGATTGGTGGTGTCGGCATCGAACCTTCGGGTTCGCTAAGCCTTATTATTATTATTATTATTATTATTAAATGTGACATTGGTAACATGACATGTACAACATGAAGAGAAACTACCCATTGGTAGAACTCAAATTTAAGTTCTATATTAGAAGGTCCCGAGGCCATCTTCTTTTCAGTCGCCTCGGAGGGTTATCAGGGATCAAGGAGGAAGCAAGGTTTGAAACGAGGGCATTCGGATGGTTCTGCAGTTTGTTATGGAAGGATAGGTATCTGGATTGGGCCAAATCGGAAACATATGGAACATTAAGGTCTTTGAGGGCCATTTTGGCATATCACTTAAGGTTCTCTGAATCACCCTCCAAGTGTTTTAACTGCAAACCTAATCATACTTGTACTCACTCTCTTTTTGCCATATAAAGCTTATTATCTATTAATGAGTTGAAAACTGTCTATTATTGGTACTTTTACCGTAAGTTTCAGGTTATTTCTTTAGTAAATAGTTGGGTATAAACATAATCAATGATTATAGTAATTTTGGTTATGTTATTTCACGATTACTATTGCAAATCAGGTAATCGTGTCACATTTTTGCTGTATTGTATCAAGTATAAAATTGGTGTGGTTATTAAGTTTTATTTTCAGTTGTAATCGTGTATATCATTGATCCCGATTTTGTCCATATTTGCTTTGGTACAAACAGCTTAACCCTGAGGCTATTAAATTAAATATAGACCAAACAGCTGTGAATCGTAATGCTAACTTGATCATATTCTTTTTTTTTTTTTTTTATAGATGTCAAGTTTTCAACACATTGAAGAGGGAAAACAATCAACATTTGTTCACCATCATCTGTTAATTAAGTTATTGTTATATTATGATTTCAATTTCAAAGAACAATTTTAAGTTTTGATCTCTGCAGTTTTGTTTTTAGTACTTTGAATTGAAACCTCTAATCGAACAAATCAAGCATTTTACCTGCCTCCTATGAACATTTGTTAAAGAAACTTTAGTTTAATTTTGTTCTTGAACCTTCTTAATTAATATTTTTCATTTAATTCATTACTAGAAAAATAAATTTCAATAATAATTATAACTTTAAGTATATATTTTAAAAAATTGTTGTTACTCCTTGCAGTCAATATATTACTTTTATTAGTTGTTTTTTTTTTTAAATCAATTTCCTAAAGGGCTAGAAGTAAGGAAGTATAAATATGTTTTTATGGGAAATGTAAATAGATTGTTACCGGAACAATAAAAATTCTGATTTACTTTGAAACTAAAACATCGTTGCTTTTTTATTTTTATTTTAAAGAAAGAATCCTTCATTCATACATTAAAATCTTCAAATATAATTGTTTCTTTATATTAAATACTCTGCCTATTATTTATTATGTACTTGCATGAATAGTTGTTGAGTTTTGCAAAAAATTAACATTTTGGAATAACTTAAAGTTTTATTTTCCTTCGTAGAATAGTTACAAATTTATTTAATTTTTTAATATACAAATAAGATGAAGGTTTTTCTGGATTATTTTGACAAATAAATTTAACTTTTCATATTATAAAATTTATTTATTGGCAGGTAAAGTTTTGATTTATTTGATAAATGACAAAGATTGTTATGTAGTATAGTTATTGTGTAAATAAATAAAAACTTGTTTTATTATAATAAATTTTATTCCTTGGATATTATGTTTATATTTTAATATTCTGTCAATCGGAAACATTTTTGAAACTTTATTAAATTTATAAGGCTCTTATTTTGCTTCACCATAATATATTTTTACTTATTACAATGTTTCAGAAAAAAAAAAAACAGCCACAAAAAATTCGAAATGATTACAATATTATTTTTCTTTTTACTCTTCATAATATCGTCAATACATTTTTTTTCAACTATCTATCGAATCCGAAAATCACCATTCTAATATTCTGGATTCAGCCCAAACAACGAGGATGTTTTAATTTCCATACTAATATGTGCTTTTATGAATGTTTAAAGATTTTGTATTCGCTATTTAAAAGTATTTAATTACAATTACAATTGCTAGATTGCGGGATTTAAAATTTTTCATATTCAATTGTTAGCAGTTTATCGACAATACTTGTTACTACGAAATTCTCAAAGTGAAACAAAATAGAATCCTTTGTAAGAATGCATTGATTTTCCCATAGAACCTTCATTTTAACAAAATAATTCTGTTGATGAGCATTGAAACTGGTTTAGCACTCTTAGTAACAAATAACTTGGTAACAGCAAACTTAAAAGGCATAATATAAATAATTAACCTGCTATTCGTCAAAAGTAATTATCACTCCACCATTCATATGATAGTCCAATTTTATGAAATCCCTTGAATTAAATGCATGTTTATAGTTTACAAGTAGCTGCATAATTGTTTACTGATTTATATTTAACAAGGATAGTTCTTTGTTTACATGAACACTTGGAGTGTTTATAATTTTTCTTTCTTCCTGTTCTCGTAGAAATTCTGAAAATCCATTTTTCCTCAACAATCATTATGCTATCCCCCATGTTATAATTTTTTCTAATAAAAAATTCTCCGTTTTGTGTAATGCAAGTTAAATAAAAGTTTTTAGCATTTTATTATTAGTTTAAAAAAGTTAGAAGCCTAATACTCCTCAATATCAAATCGAAAATCTACAAAGAGGTGGGTGGAATTTGGAATATTGACAAAAAAAAAAGATCACTAAGCAAAAAATTTTAAAGTTAACATTATTGACCATTATAAGAAACAAGAATTTAGTTGGTACATGTGAAGCCAACAATGAATTTAATTAATAACGTGTTAAGTATGTTGTCTTCTTTTAAAACAATTAGTAGGCCCGTGCGAAAAATTCGCACAGCATATTGTTATCAAATGCCAAATTAATCATAAAATAAAGAAATCAGTTGTTACTTTATCAATAAATATAATTGGCAAAGGAAACAAAAATTAATTTAAATCTTCATTAATGTTTCCCTGAATTTTTGGGGTGATTGGAATATTTTCCCATCTGAAGGAGAAGGAAGCCTTCGAAATTGGTGGCTCAATTTTGAGATTTGGTGAAGAATTAACGATGATATGGCTTATCGATCAAAAACAACATCGATAAATAATATAAACTCCTCTCTCGATCATAGAGACCTCAAAGTCGACGAAATGAGACATATATTCAATGAAAGTACTACAATTAACGTATGGTTATGTAGATGCGAACCCTATGCCTAGCCTTATCTCTAAAATAGTATGTTTTTGGGCTTGAAAACGGAGGATCAGATAGTTCCGGAGGAAATCTTCAATGTCCAATTTGTCCCATATCGATCTACAGACCTACCATCGTTCCAGTATTGAAGCCTAGCAAAATGTTTGTATCGACTTTATTTATTTTAGAAAGAAAAAAAAAAAGTGGAGAATACGATTCTCTAACCCCCCGTGAAATGCTGAATCCCCATTCATGGTATTTGAGCATGATAGGAGCTTATATTTGGTAAAAAACCGATTTCGAGCCTTACTGTAATAATATATGTGAGGATTGTTTTTATCTACATTCTTAACCTACTCATTTTTGTTTGTATTCAAATCTTTAAAAAAATATGATAAAATTGATGATTTTCAGGTCCCTTTGAGTTTGCTGTAAATTGTTTAACTCCTATTGATCAGGGATAATTCGGCCAGAGTCGAAGCCGTCAATATTATTTCCTAGTATTCCTAGCTCAAGAAATGCACCTGTATCTGCAATCTATTAATGAACCCATGGTTCTTCATGGATTGCAGTGGTATTGGGGTTTAAAGGCCTTTCATATGGTTAAGTTACTTGAATGAACTAATTTTTATCAAGAAACTTAATCTTGTAAAAGGCTTTTGTTTGGTTGCGGAAGCAAATTGATCAAACATGTTTAAAACATTCTGTGCCACTATTTATCTATTATGTTACTCTGTTTTTTGTTCTATTTTTTTTTACAGTAGAAATGTAATGCTCCCATGACCAAGTTTTAAAAAATGGTTGAAGAAATAAGAGACAGACCATCTCTTTAAGATGTTACATAAACATTTTTATTGTTCATCCCATTTATGGAGTTGAATTAGTGGAAATAGTAATTAATTTTTTAATACAAAATAAAACTTGTAAGGTAAGATTAATTTTCTGAAACACGCTGCGGAAAACTATGTTAAGAAATTTGACTGTATTAAGATCTGTCTGTGGTGATCTCCCCCTAGTGGTTAATAACCAAACTACAATTTCTAGGACAAAGCTTTGGTTAAGAAACTTGACTGTATATATTATCATATAGCTTTTCAGTGCAAATATATACTTATTTGTTCACTTATGCTTTTCCTTTATTTTAATTCTGAAGGCTGTGTAACTCTGAATTTAATTATTTCTTGACATTTTATACAAAACAAATGACATTTCTATTGTTCATTGTTATTATTATTCTTAGTGAACTAAATGTTCCGGAATAAAATTTATTTTTCTTCTAAATACGGCCTCAATACATTTAAGCAAATAAAAACATGTATTTAATTGTTTTAAAACTATTGAATGTAATAAAGAAACAAATCAATTAAGGCATAAGAATTTAATGATATATAAATCAAACAGTCTTGCTAATTCACAAAAAAAAGTCTTTATTGATTAAAAAAAAACAACAAGAAACCATTCAAATAAAAGTATCAACAATCTCAATGGCAGTGGTTTAAAAGGTTTTATATTTACATTCATAAATCCTATTAGAATATTTTTACGATTGAGAACAGTACCCTGAGATATGGGAAAGTAGGAAATGGAATAAATAAAATCCATTATTTAAAGAAACAATAGAACATGATAAAAACTGTGACTAGTAGCATCGTGCTTTTCTTTAATAATTGCCCAATACTTCATTTATCAATTATTGAAATAAAACTATTTATGGAGCACTGTTCACATAAAGTCCATAAAATTTATAAAACATAACCAAGTGTATGTTAAATAATTTTTACAAATATTAGTTGGCATTATGGTATTTATAATATCATCTTATGACATAAATACAAAATAAGAGGTGACATACTTAAATATACTTATGGTACTATTAAATAAATACTGCAAATTAAATCAAAAGGTGGATCTGATATGATTAAATCCAAACACTAATGGTTCCAACCATTAAAACAAAAACTTCTTAAACATATAATACTCTTGAACATTTTTGCGGTATAGATTTTACACTTCAATGAGCTCAATATCACTTAACAAAACCAGCTATAATTGAAATGTATAAATTGAATAGCATTAATTTATAAGAAACAAAAGATGATTTTCCTATCACGTTATCAGACTTATTTTCTTTATGAACTTATGTTCTAAGTAATATTAGAGCAACGATTTGTCTTTAAAACAAATACATCAATATATTTACAATTTAACCCATTTAATAATTAGAAAAAAAAATTATTTTTCATCCATTACGACTAATAAGGCAGTTTGGTATTTTACAGTGCGGGATATAATTATTTACAATTTCTTTTCACAAATACTTATAAAAAAATAAGTTTTTACGTATACATTGGAATAAGAGTAAACAACATTAGATCCTGCTTTGTTTGCCTTTAGAAGTCAGCCCCAGCTGGTCCATTATGATGTCCCTTTCTGCTGAGCTCCTTCGTGTGTGCCGTGTTGTAATCCTGTTTTCTTCGACATCTGTAACCAGTTTAAGATTTACCTCCATTTGATCCAAGTCAGCCATTGTTCTCTTATGAGACAGCGATGGTGCTTCGCTGTCGGGAGACAACTTTCTTTTCTTGTTAGAATCGACATCCTCATTGATCAGTTCGTCTTCCGTATCAGAGAACTGGAGGTTCTTCTTCTCTGACTCACTTTCTTTTGTAGATTCATCACCACTGTCATTTTCAGCTGCATCTTCTTCGTCAGTTTTGATCTCACCACTGCTTTTCAGTTCGGCTTCTTTCACAACGAATTGGGCCAGGACCTTAAAATAAAACAAAAGTAAATCCATAAAATAAAGTAAACTTATACTATTATGGGGTTTCTCATATGAAATGCCTGTTTTCACCGGAAAGGTTATTTGGTAAAACAACTTTATGAAATCAAAAAATTCACCCTCATTTTCTATAAATTTTTCCTAATTTGTTATCAACTTTTCAATTCCATAAATGAAAAATTCATGGTTTTGTGAAGAAATGAAGTCAGAAAATACCTTTTTGACCTGAGAATCATTTTCAAAAATTCCATCTTTAAGAAAGTTGTTTAACTTAATTTCTGAACCGATGGAAATCTGTTAGACATAAGTCTGGCATATTAGAAGGGCAATGAAGGACTTTGTAACACAGCTCATTTAGTTTCTTCACTGTTTTTCTGAAAAATAGGTCTGGTGATGTCGTGTAAGAGTATAAGTCCCTTCCGATTAACCAATACAGGTTGTTCTTTTGACAAGTGTTTGATGCATTATGTCAATATCACTGTAATATTGAATTATATACTGTCGATAAATGACCACCACACAGAGACCAATCATTTTCTTGGATGCAAATTTTATTAAACCACCAGTGAATTGTCCGTTTGCTGCCGAATGTTCAAGTTTAAACTCATAAAAAAAAAAAAAAAATTACTTGAAAAATGCGTGTTTCCATGGTCATATTTGATAGTATTCCAAATAGTACGCAATCAACTGGAATGAAAGTAAATATTATCACAAAACGAGAGAATTAATAACGGCTCATTAAAAATAAACATAGTAAACAACAAAAGTCCACTAATCCAATTTTGAATTCTGAAATAATAAAACCGGACATTTCATATTAAATGACCCAATATAATTCAAAACCTTAATATACTGACTAATTAATAATAATAAATAAAATAAATTAATAAGAAGGAGCTATTACTGAAGCGGAGTATACATGATGAAAGTTTTTGAATGAGAATAGACTAGAATGAAACCTTATCAATGGTCTCATATGAATGTATTTTTTTTTATAGCTATTTTGATGTCCTGAAAATAACCTGAATAAGTCAGGGAATTCAATAAAAAAGGTTTCAATAGATACCCTTTGTTAAAAAGTGGAAATGAATACTGAAAATATATTAGGTCTTACAATACAAGCTTTTAAATTAGCATACGAATATGGACAATTATTCTTGAATTAAATAAACTGAATAAAATCCTAAAAGAAAACTCTGAGATAGATCTGTTTTAATGTGATGAAAATATCTGAATGTATAATGTATTTTATTTAAACCTCAAAATCCAAGATTGGCTAAAATCTGTTGACAACTCAGCTTTTCCTTTAAATGCACAAGAAAAATCTTTCTACTTTTAACATACAATTCTTGTAAAATATTGATATAAAAATAATAATAATGATAAAATGTTAACCTCTTCTTCTTTCTTCATGTTCTTTTTGTTTTCTTCCAGTTTTCTGAAGAGTTGTTCATCATCAAGAGCAGGATCTTTAGTTCCATCATCGAGATAATCTACCAGCATTGTATAATCATCACATTTTCTCATTCTTTGTAATTTATTGCCAAATTCCAAAAAAACTGATTGTGCTGGAAACAATAAATTTAAAACAACAATTTGTTAAAAGAATCTATTTAAGTCAATCGATTGATTATCTTACATCTGAACAAAATGAGACACAGTATAATTACATACATGGCAATCTTAGTTAAAATTCATTTTATTTATTAAAAAAAAAAAAAAAAAACCTGTACCACTATAACCCATGAAGGGTCTTAGGTTCAGTACTATTTAGGGAAAGCACTGTTTCTTGGTCTGCAGTTGTAAAAAGAGGTGATTTGACCAAGATCACGCTCAACCGCCAAGTTTTTCCCCTTAATTAATTATTTTAATTAAGGGTACCCACTTGTAGAGGCTGGGTGTGTCCCAGGAGGGTCTACCTACCCAGGGTCGTCCCACGGCCAATGAAACAGAATAAATATTTCTTCTGCCATGAGCCAGGATTCGAACCTGGGACCTTTAGCATTGGAAGCTTAGTACTCTACCATGAGCTACCTCACTCCCTACTTATTCCAAATTTAACGTAAATATTTATAACTACTTATAACTTCACAATATCTACATGTTGTATTTCTTTAATAACCTAAAGTACAGGAAACATTATTGGACCAACAAAAATTTATTGTACTCATTATTCAAAATATTCATCATCCATTATTTATATGATTCAATTTTTATTCATTTCATCTTATTATTTTACTATAAATAACAAATTACTAATAACATGGATATGATATGATTAATAACATGAAACTACTGGCCTCTAACTGATAAGACCTCATCTTTGTGGACAATAGGCGGGCAGATAAATGTGAAGAACAGAATGTCATAATATTTATATTTGATAATAGAACTAAAACTAACAGTCGAGAAACTGAAAACCATTATTCTATACATTATCTATTCACTACACTATTCAGTTTTAAGTGAAACTCCTAGCTGAACACACCTCCCTGAAGAAAACCTGCAAAGTCGGGTCGAAATGTTGGCTTTCAATAAAATAGTTTTACCACTATTTAGCCTATTTATGACCACCACCCCGGACCACCTCCTTCATTTGAAAAACATTATTGTATTTTGATACATCTTCTTGGAGTCATTAAAAATTCACGAAAACTTGGATGATTTTAAGATTTTTAATTGAATTTCAAAACAGTTTTTAGTCCCTACTGTGAAGTAGTTATACAGATAGACTCTATCTACGATAAGTTTGAGGGCTGGGGGAGAGAGATCGGTGGCAAAACATTTTCCCACCTATCCCCCACTCTTTTGTTTTCTCTACTCATTCATACATACTTCTAATTTTTTTTTTACAAGTAGAAATTTCTTTTATCAATTTTTTTTTTTTTAAATTTATTTTCCTATTTCCTACATTGATTCACACAAAGATCGGCTGTTTGCATACTGCAATTCATTTGTTTCGAGCTAATATAGTACAGTCTAAAATAATACATAATGTGGACAATTCTCTTTGTTTACATTCAGAAGTAAATGATAATGGCTCCTCCCCTTTATTGAATATCCGATAACGTAGTATCGGATTCTTTTCTGTTCTATATTTTCCATCTATTTCTTGATTTTTTAACGATCTATTTCTTGTTAAGTTTAGATCTACAGATCCTCGTAATAACATTGAATTCTGTGAACAGTAGACCTCAAGAATTCATAGATATATATTTTTTTCAATTTGATTATTTAACCATACTTTTTATTGTTTTATTTTATTTTTATGAGAAGGTGTTGATCGGGGGGTGCGGTCAAATTAATACTAAATTAAACAAGTATTTAATTTTTGCCGACGTTTCGACCCACTTTGCAGGTCTTCATCAGGGCTACAAAAGATACAAAACATGGTTAAAATAAAATAAATGAATGTAAGTAGATATAAAATAAGAATAAGTTGTCTGATACAGAAATAAAAAGATGATATCAGAGATATACTGGGTGACAATGTAGTTAAAATATCAAGTATTATATGTAGAAGATACGTAAAGAAGATATGTAAAGTTCTTTACTTCTTTACGTTTAGTCCCGTTATCTATTTACTTACAGTTATCAAATGTAACCTCCACTACCTTGTTATCCACAGATATCTTATTATTATGTTATCTTACTCTTATTTTAGCTTTACTTTATCAATACTTATTCAACTTACAATCTATTTATTCGTTAACATTCATTTTCTTTATATGTTAACCTACATTTATCAAATGTAATCTTTATTAGTTTGTTATACACTCATTCCTTATCTTTTATAACAATCTGTTTACTTTTAACTTACATGCTATATTCTCCTTTATTTTCTATTTTTATTCATACTTATTTTCCATTTTGGTTTATATCTTCTACATATAATACTTGATATTTTAACTACATTGTCACCCACTATATCTTTGATATCATCTTTTTATTTCTGTATCAAGACAACTTATTTTCTTTTTTTATATATACTTATATTAATTTATTTTATTTTCACCATGTTTTGTATCTTTTGTAGCCCTGATGAAGACCTGCAAAGTGGGTCGAAACGTCGGCAAAAATTAAATAATTCTACTTGTTTAATTTAGTATTAATTTGACCACACCCCCCGATCAACTCCTTCTCATATTATATCAACGGTCAACCATCCCTACATCATTATTTTATTTTTAATTTGAATCCCTACCTTTAATAAACATTTGTGAGAAATTTGAAGAGAATGGAATAACGCTTTCCCGGTATAAGGTGGTTGCTGTGTTGAAGAGGAAAGTGGGGAACTGGAGAGGTCTTGGCGAGGTGGAACTTAAGTGGGGAAAAGCTGCACGAGCTCTCTTCCCCTCTTCCTTACACTCAAACTTAACTCAGATGCACCATACAAGATATCACTTTTTAGCCAATTAATGATTGAGATGGAAGTAAATTTATATGCCCCATTAATATCTAATAAGATGGTTTAATTTAATATTCAGTGAACTATTTAATTATAAGCACAAAATATTTTTAAGGATTTATTTTGCATATTTCCAAATGATAAATAAACAATTTACTAGAAAATTTTTTTTTTGTTAATAAATTATTTATTACTTATTCTAGGATAACAAAAATAAATTTGTCATTTATTATTTAATAAATTAAGGATAATTTATTTTATTTTATTTTTTTTTATTGATGATATTTACAACTGTATTACAAATAAAAATACATTCAGTAAATGTGAACAAAAGAATATAATAATATGAATTCACTTGATGAGAAACTACGTGCTAACACACTGGTAGCACTCTAAAAATATATTTACAAAAGGAGATCTCGAGGCCATCTTCTTTTCAGACGCCTCGGAGGGTTGTCAGGGATCGAAGAGGAAGCAAGGTTAGAAACGAGAGGGTTTGGATGGTTCTGAAGTTTGTGAAACATAAGGAACATTAAGGTAGTTATGTATGATTTTGTTTGTGACAAAGTAAGGAGCAGTGAGGATTTTATGAAGGATTTTGGATTGTAAGGATTGGATACGGGAGGAATTCAATGGCTTAGTGGAGCCCCAGAGCTCAACTCAGTAAATCCAAATAAGTCTTATTGTAGTCATGTATATGAGTCTTTTGTAATTGACTGGGAGATTAAGAGCGTTTGTCTAGTAAGTGCTGATGTAGTCGGAAACGTCGAGCTGTTTCTTGTTGTTTCAGTCTGGTATGAGGATTCCATGTTAGACGTTTGTCCAAGTGGAGTCCAAGGTATCGAATTTCGTATTTGTTATTAAAAATAAATTCCAAATATAAACCAATACATATATGAATGGCTTCATATCAAAGACGGACATCAGTCATTTTTAAAAAGTTGCGTAAAAGCCAATTTTTCTAACATAGCTTCAATTTTAATGATATTGTTTCATGATTCAACTTGAACATTTTTAAATAAAATCATCAGAAACAGTTTAAGTTGAAACTATAAAAGAAAAATTGACCTTTCCTCTGCTTTATGAAAATGACAGATGCTCCTCTTTGATATGATGTCACTCATATATGAGTAAAACTGTGATAAGTTTCAAGAAAATTTAAGATGAAGTTCCAAACTCTGTTTCTGTGTTGATTCCAACATGAAAAAATTCATAAGTAATAAAGTTACAATCAGTTATTATTTTTAGCAATAAATAAATAAGAAAAAATTACCTATATTGTGTATTTGAATGGGAGAAATCTGAATCTTTTCTTTCTCTACAGTAATTTCAATCAACTTCTTAACGTCCAAAAAGTCAGGAAAAAGACGGGTCTTGTTGAAGTACCTCTCAAGGGCATGCTCGATTTTCGTGTAGCCAGATGTTCCGGAGAAATGAAACTTTTGCAAAGTTGCCCGCCCAGCATGAGCTGCTTTGCCTTCTAGCTCGCATATTTTGCTATAGATTTTCGCTGCCCTTGTCCGATGCCTGAAAATGTTTAATAACATAATCACAGTGAAGAAAAAATATATAAAAACCAATACCACTGTATATTAGCTACAATAGGAAATATGACATAAATGTATATATAATTTACTATGTCTAGGACATTTATTGTAACAAGTCATTTGGCCAATATCACGTCCAAATGCCCGATTTTTTTCCTCCAATTAAGGTTATACACAACTGCTATAATAGAATAAATAATTATCTATTATAGCTAAACTTCAACCTCTCCAAAAAGAAAATAGTAAAGTACTTTAATCACTGAGCTTTCATACTCTTAGCATTACAATGGTGTATTTATCGTTATTTTGAAAAATAGCAATTTTGATTCACAGCAGCTATGTCATGCTTGTGAAATTACGTGATGTCAAAAAAATTTATTTCCTTCTGGCAAACTCTGAAGATTTACTATTATTGAATCTAACTTATTAATAATTAGTGAATAAATAAAAATATGCTTACCTATCAAGAAGGCAGTATACATTTTCTGATTCACCATCTGAAGATGAAGTTACTTCCATTTCTTCAAGTTTATGAATCCTCTCATTCAACATCTGTTGAACACACATATCAAAAGATTTATTAATATTTTTGTAATTCTAATTTAATTAAATTTTTAATCGATTAAAAAGAATTAAATTTACTGAGGAGATTATATGACTAATTATATAACGTTTTAATTTATAACAAAATTCATAAAAATGATTGGCTATTTTACTTGTAAACATTAACGATTATTTTGGCAAGATGTATATTCTTACTTTGAGACCAGAAAGAGTAAATAATAATCATAAGTTTGATATTTTAACAAAAAAGTACGTTAAAATGTTCCTTAAAATAAAGTATAACATATTTTAATAAGTTGCAGAGTTATACCAATAGTAATTTAATTAAAAATATTACATATAAAATATAAATATATTTGTTCATGTATGATTTAGTATTGCTTCTCCTTTCTTTCTTTTAATCAAAACATTTTCAGAAGCCATTCAAATGTTTATGCACCTTACTTGTGAAAGTGATTGAGAGTTCATACAAATATATATGGGGCATGATTAGTAGTCAATTTGCCATGACTCAAAAAATAAAGAAGGAAAACTCTATGAGATCCATTTCAGCAGACGTTGCATATATAATACAAGACTGTCTCGATGATTTGAAACCCTAGTAATCCGAAAAAGAAGGAGAAAAAAGTTAAAATTGACTGACAATAGACAGAATGGAAATGGCTCATTACAAATTACTGCAATTGCTTTGAGTGATTGTGCTGAAATCATAATCTCTTTATATGCGGTTTTTGCACCAGAGATGAGGAGGTTGTCCAATTTCGGGAGATATATTAGCTGGAAAAAAAAGTTTTTCTTCAATAATTTTATTAAGAAGGCACAAAGCAGATTTTTAATGGCAGTAAAGGTTGGCTTGATAATTGCTAAAGCAGGTATAGAATACATTTTATACATTAATCTTTATTTCACTGGAAAATTTCTTAACATCCATTTTATTTTTAACTGTGGGTAAATGGTTGACTGTCGTGAATAATGAAGAGAAGAATAGTTAGGGTGATCAGTCAAATAAGAAAGCAAAAATAAATGAAAAAAAAAATTCTTTTCTTGGCCCTGATGAAGGCCCCTGAACTTCAGGTTGAAACGTCGGTAAATATCAACAAAATAAATATTATCATTTATTTTTGCCTCTTATTTGACTGATCATCCCAACTATTCTTCTCTTCATTTTATTTTTAATTATAGAAAGTCATAGAAATGCCATAAAGGCATTTAATATTTTCTTGGAGTGGGTAAATGGATACAATGAAGACTACAGAAGCCTAGTAATTTCAACGAATTTGCAAGATCAGGCATTTTCTTTAGCAACAAAATTAATCATATAATTTCCAGTTTCATAAAAAAACTGATATATATATATTAATAAAAGACATGTAATTAAAAAAACATTATATGATCATTTCTAGGAATTTAGGTTTATTATTATTAAATTGGAGGTTTTACATTTCACGATTCATAGAATTCTAAAATCGAATAAAAACTATTTTGTCCATCTTCTGCTATTTTCAAATTTTGGATTCAAAGTCAGAGGTCACCTGAGGATGATCCTCCTATCTCGACATTACTATCCACCTTTTCTTTCCAAGATGGTGGACGAAAAACCTGTGTTAGTATAGACTGTAGCACCTGAACAAATGTACCAATTTCAATGAAATTTGGATAAAGTATTCTCCTCGATGCTCTTTTATATATATATAATGTACTAAATGTAATGAAAAGATGTAAAAAAAGTTACGATAGGTGGTAAAATTAGGTTTTCGAATAATTTAAGTACAGTTTTTTGTAGATGTACATGGTTTTTTTTAAAGTTTAATTTAAATAAAGTTTAATACCAACAAAAAAATCATTGAAATCGAAAAATTCAGTACAAAGATATGGTGTTCTAAATATTTTTCATATGTTCTACTGCAAAGCTAAGAATTTTGTTTTGGTTTTAGATTATTTGAAAGCTTTACATCACATCAATTGAAGCAACATTGTCTGCTTATTTTAGCAAATTATTAATGATGAAAAAAAAAAAAAAAATTTACGCCATTAATAGGAATCACCTTTTCTTTATGTTACATGGAAAATAATGTTAATTTTGATGTCAAATTGTTCGGAAATAATAACCTAATATGTTTATATTTAACTAATAATACATGAATTTTCTTGTGCAATGGCTTGTGCAATTTAAACCATAATTTAAAATTTAATCTTTGATAATCCGATAAGGCCATGCAAACTATGTGTTGGGATTATTAACACCGTCCTGAAGTTGTAATTAATTCGATCATTACAAAAGTCTTTATGTGTTAATAAATTGTCCTTAATTCAATTACTTAAACCAACTATCTCTGGTATTAATATGATCAATCAAGTCAAGTGACAATCACACCATAAATTTTGAAAAATAATTTTAATATGTAGATATCATAATGGAATTTAAATAAGATCTATTTTATGCAGAAAGACTTGTTAGCAACATAGTAAATTCAATGAAAAACAATTCCTAATCATTCTCAGCAACAAGCGATAGATAGTATTATGAAGGTTACGTTACTGTAGTTGCTAGAGTTGAAAACAATTCTTCTACTCTGTAAATGTCATTAGCATTACCAAAACATTGATAGCTTCTGGCAGACAATTGCTAAGAACAGTTTTACCGTAATGTGAGTCATCAACTTTTATTTAATAGATATATAGAAAAGTAAATTAAAAAATAATACATCTAGCTAATTCACTACACCCAGTAAATTTAATGTTATCAATCAATTGTTTTATCATTGATCTAATAGATGATACTTAGGATGTAGCATGTTCGAACCTGAAGCATTTTATTCAACTTCCTCAGGGTCCTATTAATCTGAAAAAAAAAAGAAGATATATTTATAAAACAATTCCCAATAATTTGAAAGAAAAAACATAGATGAAACATTCAATAGCATTAGAAACATTATAAAACAAAAAATCTGGTGCGAACATCACACAAATTTCACTTGCCACCCTCTTCTCAACAGAGATAAGTATTATCAGACAAATGGGAAGTGAAAGTAAAAATTATAGATGCTATATTTATTTACATTTCATTTGTTTAATTATTCTTATATATACAAATTTTAATTTTTATATCACTGTAATCTATAAAATTAAATAATACTAACGATAGCATTTATGAAAAACGCATATGTATATGTACATAATATTTACGAGTCCGCATTATATTAAGCTCAGGTTACTGTATTACAACTATTATCCGTTATGATCTCTAATTTCTCTTTTAGTTGATTATTAAATTCTATCATATTTTATATTTGACTATTTTTTATATCAAAGATTAATGAGAATTGGTTAATTATTTCAAATAAAAAAAATTTAAGGTACTTTAGAGGAAGCTAATATTGAAAATTAGCCATTTAAGCCCTGTTAGAGAACATCAGTGAGAATAAAAACCTACATTATATTAAAAACTGCTTAATAATACACTGACATAATGAGTTTAATCACAATGTTTCAGAGAAATGTTTGAAAAAATCATAAAAATGTGTTATATCAATGATACTTCCGTATCATTTTATACGAAATAGTACCACTTCTGGTTTGCCGATTTTGACGAAAATGTTGCTGTAACATTTAAAACTTATAAAAACTTCAGTTTTTCGTTTTTAAGCTAGGCTGTTCATAACCACACACTCCACTTTATGGGACTTAGTTATTTCAACTTTGGGGACCTCAAAACGCGTATTTGAATTGAAAACTGAAATTCAAAAATTTTCATGATCGCAATACTTAACCTTACTATATATTACATATATAGGTAACTGAAAGTAAAAAGCAAAACAAATTTTATGAACATATAGCTATAATTCCTCTACAACATAAGGTATAGTCAAGTAATTAAAAGAAAATACAAAATAAATCATAAAATTGACTAACTCTTTCAGGCTGCCTTTTAAGTATCCTCATGACTTCTTTTAAGTTGCGCGATACGATAACTTTATCTTCAAAGGTTGTATTTTTGTCATCTTCTGCACTTTTCAAGGCCGATTTTACAGCATTCAAAAATTCTTCACTTTTCAAAACATCTTCCGAAGCTGATCTAAAATACCTCCACAGTCTTGTGCTTAAGTTTTCATCTTGGAAAAGTTTACAAGATACTTTAACTAGCTAAAAATGACAAATAAGTTAAATATACTAGCTTTATATGTTGAAATTGATTTTATTAATGAATACTTACTCCGTCAAACATATTTTCAACAGAATATCTGTTTATTCGTTCTTGGTTTGTCTTGTCAAGACTGACATTGACTGTTAAATCAATCTAAAACAATAATATCAAAATTAATAATGATAATTTTTACTAATTTACATCAATAAACACATTGGAACATGTAAATATCAAACACAAAGATTACTTGAATAAAATTTTGATAAACAGAAAAATTGCAATTTTTATTATTGAAGTATTAAAAACAATTAAAATATTTTTTTAAGTGAATACTTCTTGAGGCGCATTTTGCACTTTTTTTGTGGAGAGTGAATTAGATTGAGCAGTCAGATCTCCGATGTGTAACGCTCAGGTAAAATCGGCAGGATTTGACTAATTTAAGTGTTTCTTCATATGGATTAATAGATCTCAAAAATTAAGAATCGTACCTGCATGTTGTTGGCAATGGAAATGTTCATTTATCCTTTTTGTAAAAGGCTATAATTCAAAATTTTATCTTAACGCAACGCCGTTAGAGAGGCAAAAAGAGAAAAAAATTGTGTAGAAAATTGAATTATATCGATTTTTATTGAGGATGTGGATTAAAATATCTCAGACACTAAAGATCTGTATACTGAGAGATCTGTGTGAGAGAGAGCGCTCTGTCTACTATCAACTTCCGATAAGGAGAATAATGAGACAAGTCCAGCAGGATAGTGCTCAGGGATCAGTTTTGGGACTCCCCCTATAGAATATCAACATAAACTCTCTCCCTGTTAAATTGAGAGCTGCCGGGTATACGCCATCTGCTTACATGGATGACTTTGCTGTTGGAATAGAGGCAAAATCATGGCAAGATTTGGAAATAAGGGCAGAGGAAGTCACGTTCATTACAGCTGCCTTAAAACGATGGCAGGGACCACCTGGGGTCTCAAATATAGTTTCTGGGAAACTCTATATAAGGCTGCTTTCTTGCCTATAGCATTATATGCGGCGCTGGCCTGGGGCCAGAAACTGAGACAGTCAGACATCAGTGTGTTGGAGCAAGCTCAAAGATCTCTCCTACTGGTGACAGGAGCGTATAGAACGGCACCCACTTCGGCTTTGCAAGTGATTACGGGACAATTGCCTATAGACCTAAAAATACAAATATCTATAGCCAAGTATAGAATAAAGTGAGGATTGCCAGCAAATGTTGGAACAAGCTGCTTTGTGAGCCCAATGGAAAGTACGATGAGGTAGCTGACAGAACAGAAGAACTAGAATTCCTTTCTGAATGGCAGAGAAAGTGGGATGAATGCGAGCGTATTTGCAACAAAGGACAAAGAATACCCAGGTCAACCGAAAAAATTTCAAGCATTGTTCGATGAAGATACATCCAATAAATGGTAGAGAGGTTAAACATTGTCAGCAAAATCATTAGTGATCGTCAGCAAGCTATGGAAAAGATCCAGAAAACAGAAAAAATATTACTACAACAGACAGATAATAAAAAAGTGAAAAACGGTGTGCAAAGTTTTAAATTATTGGCATAAAAGATAGACTTTTTGGCATTGGATTATGACTGGAGATGATAAGCAGATATATTTCAAGAACCCAAAACTAAGAAAATCATGGTTTAACCCAGGACAATAATCAATATCAATCATTAGACCGAACTGGTTTGGAAAAAGAAATTACTCTGCATTTAGTGGGATTAGAAGTGTAACGTACCATGACATGAACTGAATTTGAAACAGTGATAACATTTGCTATTATGAACAAATGATAAATTTGAACCATGCATTGATCAAAAAGCATTCAGAAACCATTCTGACTAAAAGAGATGGAAAACTAATTTTACCATTTGTTTTCATAAATATCTCTCACACTACCCATGAAACATTTATACTTCAAATAATTAAGGATATGTCGAAAAATGGCTTGATGATTAGACCAGCTCGTTAGATTTGTAGTTTTTTACAGCATCTACAAATGTGTAAGATGAGAAAAATGTGTAACTCGCGATGGTACATCCTTTGAATAAACCATTTTTAACCTTTATCCCTCCTACCACTACTTCATCCATTTATTGTTTAAGGAGGAAGTAGGAAGTATTAGACAAGTATTAGAGTATATGCCTATCAAATGAGACAAGAAATAGTGTTATTTTTGTATTTGGTGTAATGAAAATGAATATTTATAATGAGATTATAATATAGAAATATGTTTTCATATTTATATAAAAATTTTTGTTTTAAATTTTGATTACTTGCGAATGAGCAAATTAGCTCGAAACATCGTTGAATTTGAATAAATCTTTGGGGTATAAGGGTTTATATATTCTTGAAGACACCATATACAAGAACAATGGATGCTCTATAAAAAATACTACTTTAGTAGCTAAATATATGCATAAAATTAAATCAAACTTTTTCCTAATATTTAATGGTTTACATTCAGCAGGAGCCATGTTAACAACAAGGAAGAAAAAGTTAAACTTAATTTAAAATGAAAAATTTATTATATGTTAGGAGAGATTGATTAGGAGAGAATCTCACTCCTTCGGATAATATTATTTCTCCTTCTGAAAAAAAGACTTCTCTCTGATTTGTGAAATATCGAATAGTTTTGTTATTATTATAAATACTCATTTTTAAAAAGTAAACCAACAGTCCTTTTTGTTGAATAAATGAAATAAATAATAACTAGAGAAGTAATAAAATAGAAAGATTATCTAATACCTGTGAAAGTAATGATTTGGAAGTCGACTGACCCGATGAATTTCCATTGCTATCTCTTACGCTACTATTGGCTTTGGTAGAAGATTGGGATTTTGTTTGACCTCCCACCGAAGATGAAGAAAGTCTTGGAGAATTATTTTTTTGCCTCGGCCTTAATGCTCTTGTAGTAGATTCTTTTTTTTGATCGGTTTCGTCAGATAAAATAACGATTTCTTCGTTCTTTGAAGTGGGCTTCAATAAACTAACCTTTGGCATGGATGAACTTGGACTTGCAAAAACAGATGACAATGGCACCACAATAGTGTGTACCTTATTATAAACGGGTTTGGAAGCAGCTGAAACTGGTAATGAAGGAGTAGAAACCTTAGACGTGGTAGGAGTTGAATTTGGTTTATTTTGTGGAAGACTACTGCCTGCTTTCTGGTTAAATATTTTCTGAAATATGATATATTAAACATTATTAATTAGAAATAAACATCTATTTATCTAGTATAAGAAAAACGTTAATAAAAAAGTAATAATTCCACATAAACTTCTTTTTTAGCTTTATCTAGACATCAAGGTTTTAGTAAAATAATAAAAAAGGCGATAGGATTCCATTGGAAATTACATGTCTAGAACATTTATATACATTGACAGGCAAAAAATTCCACCCACTTGTTACCCATTAAGGAACCACGTTGGAAAGATTGGCTCTGGGAAAAATTACAGGCTGCATACCTTTCGTTTCTTCTTCTCCACACCCTTTCACGCCCGTCTGGAGGTCGAAGAGCGAATCTTGACTCATCTGTAAAAAGTACAGCACTCCATTCGTCCATAGTCCAATGACTGTGTTCTCGAGCAAAAGCCAGCCGTGTTACTCTGTGAGTTCTGGTCAACTCTGGTCCTCTTACTGGATGAAAAGCCATTAATCCATACTCATTTAATCTTCTCCGGTACATTGAGAAATTTGCACACCTCGAACTTCGTCGAGCTGATGAATCGCTTGAACAACGGTAAGGTGCCGGTTTCATAAAATTCAAAGTCAAAAACCGGTCATCCCGTGGTTCTGTTACCCTAGGACGTCCAGAACCGGGCCTTCTATTGTAAGAACCAGTTTCCCGAAAACGCCTGATGGCGTCTCATAAAGTTTCATATAGAACTCCGATGGCATCAGCTGCATATCTAATGGAACGGCCATCATCAATAAGTGCCACAACACGCGCAACATCCTCAGCACTAAGAGGCATTTTTAAACTTAATTGAAAAATTAAAAGCCGGAGACTAAGAAATGTGCTGTAAGAAATGGCACTGAACTAATGATACTGAATAAACATTTTGATTCCATAGAAAGTAAACATTGGAATCAAGAATCATTTTATTGAATTAAGGGTTATTGTCCTCTATATTAACATTCCTAATTGAAAATAAACAAAAAGATTACCTATTTATTCATTAAAAACAATAGACCAACCCAAAGCAGAAATATTTTTACATGAAAAAATCAAGTGGGTGGAATTTTTTGCCTGTCAGTGTATATTATACTTACTACAAAAGAATATATTTTACTACCTTGAGTTTTTGACAAGAAACACGCAATCTAAATTTGATCAGTCAATAAATCAAAAATTTCTGATCACGAAAAACAAAAAAAAAAAAAAAGATACGTTTACTATAACACTAAATTAAAAAAAATGTTATTATTTCAAATTATTAATTTGGAAACCTAAAATAGCTAACACTAAAACTTATAATTAAATAAATAAACTTAAAAAAAATAGTATTACATGAATAAATACTGTCAACTGGGATAACTTTACCACATATATCAGGTGTGGTACTAGGTCTAATTTCTAAATTATGCGATAATATACCATTTTTTTTTATTCACAGCTAGGCCATTTGATTAGTATTTCTTTGTGCCCTACCTTCTTTATCAACAGTTTATGGAATTTAATCAGAGTTCTTGTCCTAACTTTTCATCAATCCCTAAGTAATAATTATTTGTTTTTCTTCAAATAGAATATGATTTCCTATTAGAATATTTTTTGTATTTCATTTTATGGTGAATTAAGATTGGAGAATACAATTTGGCAATGACATAGCACAAGTATATGGAGAAGAGTATAATTTTGAGGACTTGGAATATCACAATTTTTTCTAACTTTTATAAAATGTGCATTTAACACATGCCAACATATATCAACTGTTTATGGGATTTGATCAGAGTTCTCGTCCTAATTATTCATCAATCTTTAAAATTATGTAAATTCATTCATCAATCGCGTAAAAATAAAAAATAACACTTAGGGATCAAGCTTGTGGATTATAGGTAACAAAACTGTGTTGATACAATGCCACGAAGCAGGCACATAGTCAGTTTACAATTTTATTTCTAACAATTCTAACTGTTTGAATTTGAGAAGAGATTAGTTCTATTATAATTAAAAAAGTACTAAACTTTTCTAAAAATGAGGAATTCATTTATATTCATCTCCTAATATTGATTTTCTGAAGTAAATTTCAAAAAACCATAAACATCATTTCGGGGATGGGGAGAGCTGAAATCTCTCAGGACTCGGAAGAATCTTCACTCAATGTATATATATCATTCTTATAACGAAACCCATAGAAAATATATATTTTTTGGAAACATTCTGTTCTCGAAGAAAAAAAAAAGGGAGTCAAGACTAAAGATTTAAAACAGTTTTGTACATAATTAGTTTACAAAGCATTTGAAAAAAAAAAAAAAAAAAAGGCAAAGTTATCCAGATTGACAGTATATTTTTAAAATTATCTTGTAAGTAAAGAAGGATAAAAAAAAACAAAATTTATAAACAATTGGAGGTATATTACCTAATACACCACTATTTGCACCAAACATAAAGTTAATTTAAAAACCACTGTAACAAATGAAGTGAGTTTACCAATTTTAAAGAAAACATTAAAAAAAAGTAATTTCATAATTTAACCTACAGCAGAAATTTGCGGAGTTTTTGTTGTTTTGCTAAGTTGACTTGTACTGCTAGTCGTATCATCTTCATCGTCATCATCAATGATAAATACTTCATCTCCATTTTCAACAACCACATTAGATGCCTTTAATGCATAGAAACAAACATTGTAACACAATTTATATAATATAAAATTTAAGGATTAATATTCATTGTTAATTACATCAACAACATTTTACAAAATCCAAAACCTTTTCTGCAATGCTGTTAGGCTTGGTGTTGATTTTTAGAGAAGCTAGAGTTGGTGTTATATGTGCCTCTTTCGGCCTCTGTGGCCGTTCTTCTTTAACCTCATCGCTATCTATAATTATAACATCTGGAGCTGTAAGACTGTCCTTACGAGGAGCATTATCCTGAAAAATAAAAATGTATACATATATATCACACTATTCTCAGGTATACAGGTCCACTTATTTAAAGAGGATGGGTACATTATACTGAAAACATGTATATTAATTAGATAATACAATTATATCTGTTAAAAGTTTGTATAATTGAAATCAAAAGAATATTCGATTTTATTTTCTAGATGAAATTTAACTCAAATAAAATAAAATAGTGATTTGAATATAAAAAAAAAAATTAAAACTTCTTTTCTTCTTGCTTTCAATGTTATTTTATTAAAAATTTACATTAGTAAAACTTCTTTTGCTCGATTTTTAAACAAAGGTATTATATAATAAAAAAAATCTCTTTAATATACAAGTAAATAATTTATACTGTTATCAAATTTAGGTGCAAATGAAGTAGAAACATTGAACTAAGACCATTCATTAATACATCAAAGGAATTAAACATATAGGCAGTATTTAAAGAGAAAAAAATGGGAGAGTTCAATAATAAACACTTTTTCTTTTTTACCCCATTTAAACTGTGTTTTGGAGTCGAACTAAGTATTCTCTGAAGATTCTTAAACGATGTAAATCCATTTTTTTCTACTGGTCTACTGATCACCTTTTCATTTTCTTTTGTTTGCTGTGAATTTTCTAAATTGATAGTTAATTCAATATTAAAATTCCTTTTAAGTTTCTGGACAGCACTTGAACCAACAGTTGGATTATTTTTAGTCTTGGGGCATACCTTCTGAAATATGAAAAATACAATTTTCTTGATATTTCAGTAAAGAAAAAACAAGATTGGCTTATCACATGCACCCTAATTTCAAACTTTTCATTCAATATTTCTGAAAACTTTATTACATAAAAAAAAAGTTCAAGATTTCAATAAACATATAATTGTACCTTTTCAGTTACAATCTCTATTTCTTCATCAGAAGACAAATCTATAAAGCTAACAGACATTTATCAACTTTACTATCAACAACAACCAATCAAATCAATTTTACTACAAAACTTTTTTAAATAAAAGTTGAACGAGGGAAAATCAAGAGAATTTTAAACTTCGTTGATCTTGATATTTTTACACAATAAATAAAATGTTGATTGCTACCATCATAACTTATTGACATAACCTATTCCTCCGTCCAGATAAACAAAAATGGTGGAGTTAATGGCGTACCCTCTCCCTAACCTATGATATAGACAGCATAGGGTGGAAATGTACATTTATTAAATACATTTAATCATGGAATTCTTATGGTCTTAAATATATCTGAATATTAATTTTAAAGTTATTGAATATATGTTTATGCTGTATAATTTCATTATTAAAACAGTTGAGATTATTACAGTCTTGATCTGAGACGAATGCTGTTGGAGAAGTTTCAGTCTCCAAATGGTCATGTCGGAGGGAGGTCTTGTTGAATACCATTATTTATCATAAATAGTGAAGTAAATGTGTGTTGTGTAGTGTAGTTTCAAGTGCGGTTATTTGGATATTTCTGCAATGAGTTGGGGAACGGAACTTTGGGTATGTCATTACTTCATATTATAACATTTATACATAATGTTGTACTGTTTACTTGTTTCTTTTTCATGTTCATTTTATTTTAAACGTTTATGATTTGACAACGTATCAATTTTGTTGGTTTTAAGACATTGGGAAGACAGATTGTTTTCGGAAAATATATGCCATTCTTTATGGTACTTATTCTTAAAAAAAAAAAAAAGTATAAGTCTTTTCTTCTAACGTTTCGTTCGACTTAACTACAAAATTTACAATTAATAGCTGTTAATGGTATTTATTTTATTCAGTGTCAGGATACATTGTAATTATCTTTGCAGTTCGCCTTTATGGAATTACTCAGGGCCCTTGAAATGTAGTTGCATTACTTTTGCAGGCGTTTGCTGAAAGTGTTGGAATTTGTATTGTGAAATTCATTAAGTACTTCATACCTGTGTTAGGTGTGTCTGCACTTATTGTTGATGTGTTCTTATCATTTGAAAATTGATAATGAATGATTAATGACAATAAAATATGATAACTCGTGATTTGTATAGAATATTTTTTACCATTTCTTATTATGTTGGTGATTGTCGATTATGTCTCCCCAATATGATAGTAAGACTATATTTTAATTCGTATGAGTCAAGGATTGATTGAATATGACTCATAAACAACCCCTATGTACATAAAAATATTTATCTTGGCTGATAATGTTATATGTTAATGATTTCGGAAGTCTGAATTAACATGTAACTGATAACTTTGTTTTATCTGTCTGAGTTTTATTCAAGTGTTATTATTACATTAGATATATTGTTCTGTTATTACCTTAAATTTAAAACTGAAATTAATGAAATTTGACGGACGTTTTATTTAATTGTTGTGTGTATGCAACACAATCTCTGCTAAGAAATATATATTAATTAATTTTTCTTTTGATTTAATGATTCATTTGCTTATTACATCCCCTGGTTTGTATAATGGAGGGATGAATTTAGTGATCCTTAAAGTAGTAAGAGTGGATAATATTTTAAATGGTTGTGAATAAATATTGAATATTTCTGAAAACTTTATTATACGACTTTTTTAAATAGTATGTTATGTTTAATATTAGTAAGCAATTTATTATTTTATTAAACAATTAATCTATTCGTAGATAACGCGTTTTGCATTGATAACATTATGTCATCAGGTAATTTTTTTTTACGTAGAAAGCTTGTATTAATTCAATATTTTTTACTATTTATTCATCAAATCTTTCGTATTTTTAAACCTGGAAAGATTCAGTTTTAATCTAAATTGGTTTATGTGTTATGATGTCTTTTTTTAAATCCTTAAAAGCATGAGTTTAAACAGGTGGAGGAATTTGATTATTGATTTTGGTACTTATCACAAATTTATTAAAGTTTTTGATATTCTACTGCAATTGTTGAATATCTAGAAAGGAACAACGAATTGTTAACAATATTTTAGTTGAAATTTTTTGTTACATTTGTTTGTTGTTTTGAGATTTTAATTTATTCTTGGCTTTAACTCGAGCAATTATAACGAACTTAATGATTATGAATTGATAAGTAGCAATTAAATAAAAAAATGGATTATTTGTAACGTAAATCTTTTTGTGATATATGGCGTAATTTATTATATTTTATTTTCAGTTTCTATTGGCAATGTCAATGTTTTAATTGTAATTATTAATGTTTGGACTTTGGAAACATGAGTTTAATTAAAATTTTTCTGTGAGTAAAGGTTTAGATTTGTTTTTTTCTTTTCTAATTGTTTTATGTACTTGATTCTGGTACTTAAAAAAAAAAAAGATAGATTTCAATATTTATCTTACGATGTTTCAAGAAGAAAAATGAATTTAAATCAATATATATATACATATTGTTTTTGGCTTCGAGGTATTATGAAGAAACGAATAAAAAAAAAAAGTTTAAAAAAATCGAGGAGTCTTGATTTAGTATTTGCTTTCTTTTAAAATTTTATTTTTATATTTGAAAAGCTGTTATTCATTGGAATACAACTGTAGATTTACTCTTTATTCTTAATTTTAGAAGCTTTTGTTTTAACACAAAGTGAAAAAAAAAAGGCGGGATTGTTCTAATACTCCTCCTCAAGGCGCCAATTCTGCCTACGATGTATTTTGATGTTCTGGCTATGTTACGCGCCTTTTTTTTAAGGAGGGAAATTTACCATCTTTATTATACTCTAAAGTAAGACAGCATACTTATATTTTTTCAAATCCTTTTGTCTAGAGATTCCTACTCTTTTAAAAATTAATTAAACAAAATCTTTAGCTTCTCTAATAATAATGAAGTCGAATTTTTATTTTGATTAACAGGAGTGCCTATCTCCTCGATGGCGCATGTATCCCTTCTAAAGAAATTTAATTACTGTTCTATTATTTAAAACAAATCAAGAATATAATTAATAAAATGTGTGAACTATCTTCTATGACCCTCCTTGTTTCTCAGTTCTGTATTTTTTTTTTTTTTTTACGTTCCTCCAGATTGGAACTTCACTAACATATGGTTCCCTTCGAAAACTGATAATTCAAATTATGCTCCCTTAAAAATTAAAATTTTTAAAATGGTGCCTCCCTCAATAATTTTGATGGCACTAGTTGCGACATAAATCTCCCCCTCCCCCTTCTGGACAGCTCTGGTGATTAAGGATATGTAGTTGAAATTCTTACTTGTCAATGAACAGGGTAGAATGTAAAAGGTCACGATCCAAATATCTTGGAATAGCTGTCTGGAACCCGTTATGATAGTTTTAATAGCTTGCGGGTTTACAGTCACGCAGGTGCCTTAATAGTTGTCTCTAAACAAATATCACTTTGTAATTTTTAATATTTTTCGAAATTAACGAACTGAGCTATGTGGATATATATAAAAGAGAAGGATGGTTGGGGTGATCAATCAAATTAAAATGGCAAAAATAAATAATTTTATTTATTTTCACACTCGCTGACGTTTCGGCCTGAAGTTTAGCCCTTCACAAGGGCTGAGAAATAGAGAACCACATACCAGGTTATTTTATTTGTTGTTAATCAGGTTGTTTTCCACAGCCCTGACGAAGGCCTTAACTTCGGACCAAAACGTCGGCGAATATAAAAATAAATAAAATTATTTATTTTTGCCATTTGACTAATCACCCCAACCATCGTTATGTTCAGTTATTCACTACAGTCAACCATAAACCCACAATATATATATGTATATATATATATATATATATATATATATATATATATATATATATATATATATATATATATATACACACACATAAAACAATAATATTTATAAGGCAAAATTCTCCCTTATACGTCGATGAAGAGCTCTTCACGAATAGACCTTCATCTAATTATCCCATATAGACTAGAAGTTATAACTGGATTCATTATATAACAAATAAAGGAGACTAGTTAGTTGGCCAGTTGGAATATTTCGCATAAAATTTTGTTTAGTGAAAGAATAGCAAGATAATATGGAAATAAGTAGATCCTATGTAGTATCAGAGGGAGGAATTAATTGTCGAAGGATAGTTAAGTTATCACACGTTTTGTGATTTTCGGAAAGAAATCCTAGAGGGAGAGAGGAAGATTGGTTTATATTTATATCTACTTTTTCAAGTTACCATGGTAACTAAAATAACATACCCGTGTTACAGACCCCTTTCTATGAAATTATTAACATTCATCTAAAACTTGGAGATTGGCTTCATTTTATCTTAACCTAAAAAAAAATTTTATTTTCGAAAATTATGGGAAATAGGTCTATTGTTTGAAGTCCTGAAAATTCTTGGATACCCACTTCGTAAGATAATTTGATCATGAAATCGAGGAAAGAGGTTGCCTACAAAAATATTGGGTTGTTAGGCATGTCTTCCACCTCCCAACATGTCAAAAGAAAGAGGTTATAAAGAGCAACCATTTTCTTAGGCAATTTTTATTTTCCTATTTTCTATTTCCTTTGATTTTGTGATCAAATTGTTTTATAATTCGCGTGAGAAGCAAATGGATATTCATGAGCTTTTAATACCTCATTAAGTTGATTAATTTAATAAGGTAACGCTTCATTTCTGAGAATTTTCGTCTATAAAAAAAGTTGTGAGTTACGATATAAGGAAACCATTCAAGAAGTTTTTAATTAGACGTATATACTCCGATTAGAAGTAGGTATACTCCAAGTATGAGATGTCCTCTTAATATGTTAAATAAAAGATACTTTGAATAACTATGTGAATAGATATTAATCCGTTATATGGAACCTTGAGTTCTCTTGATATTTGAGGTCACAGCTCGGGAACAGTTCCCCTCAACATTGACAAACTGATGATGGTCCGACAGCCGAAAGTTCCTGAAAAAAAAAGTGCTGATGTTTTTCCTATCTCAGGGATCCCTAGTTGGAAGTGACGTTTCGTATCTGTAAAGGATATTTGGACTTACTATTTCCTCATTTACTAGAGTAAATAAGAATATTTACATTATATTAATAAATTATTATAGAGCCATTACTGTTCGCTGTGCTAGGAATTATCTTCCGGATAACTCTTTCTTCTTCGATTCTTTTCAGCTTCGGGTCCTTGGTTCACTGTCGAGAAAGTGGAATACGAAATTTCAAACTGCTTTCTACATGGCCACGCCTATCAGCCTGTAGGGCATTTAGAATAATATTATCTTCAATATTAATCAAATTTCAATAATTAGTTTTAGAATATATATTTATATTTTTTACAACGAAGAATTATTAGGTTAAGCGCACCAGTAATGGACATAACTGAGGAAATTTTTGTCTCTCTCGCCTTACTTATTTTAGTTATAAACTTCTCCGTTGGATGTTAGAAAGTTTATAATCTCGTTTTCATATTGCATACCTTAATATTGAAACAATATTCAGTTTTGCAATGTTGTTATCTCCAGTTTAAAATAACCACTTTTTACACAAGTAATGGACATACCTCAGAAAACCTCAATTATCTTCATTGAACTCAGAAAAAACAATAATTTTGTTTAATTAATTTGTCATTTCAGTCTCCTATATATGAAATATATAATTAGAAGAAACATTGCGATCGTGAAAAATTTCGAATCCTATTTTTTAATGTTATAAGGTCTTCTGAGTCCGTAGGTTTCATTCTTATTGTTGTCAACAGAAAGCAGTACCCTTCATTCTGGAAAAGGGCTGGAATCTGTAAACCAATTAGAAAGATTATTATTAACATTTAAAGGCCAAAATATCCATCACTGGGTTCCTGTCCGTTTTATAAAATTGAACCACTAAGAAACTTGGTGGATTTTCACTTTGATTAAAACAAATTGTGTACTTACTCTTACTATTTTTGACATTTGATAGCTTTATGTTATTTTCTTTCGTCTTATGAGTTGATGTATTTGTTAACAGGAGTGTTCAGAAGAGGGCCTCATGGTACAATTTGCGTTATCAAAAATTTTGAAGGGGCATATTTTGACGGGTTTTTGAATTTTTGAGGTCAAATTTCGACGGGGTTATGAATTTTTCGATTTAGGCACATGGAACAGACTAGAGCAAGTGTAATTGTATACGATCAACGATTTTTATAAATCTACTATTATCTTAGCTTGCTCTGTTTTTAAGAAAAGGTGAGCAATAAAATATCTTGGGAGAAGGATGAGTGTAGGTTCTTGTGCCATCCATCTTGGGGAGGATGGGCAACGGTATCGGTTGATGTGATTGAAATTCACAATTGCTCCCTTGAAAGTTTTTTTCTATCGAAAACATACTCAGTGGCTTGGAATTTACTATTGGCTCATTCTAATCGAATTGTTTTCAACGAATAATAATTGACGAGATGAACGTAAGTATATTCTTACGCAAGAATTAAGTGAGGCGTGCCCAACTTTTCGGGCGTCGTATGAAGTGTTCGGCTCACTAGTGTTTGTATTATATGTTTACAGTGAGTCAGCAGTAAGGTTTTTTTTTTTTTGGTGGAGAAGGAGTCGACAACTGTTATGTGACCATATAGTATAACTTCGTAAATAGCTTTCTTCACCTCATCGTAACCTGCAACTATTTTATTTACGAAAATTCTCTGAATTGTTAATTTAATGGACAAAGTTCGCCGATCTTCAAATTGAAAACTTTATCACAAGAGTTTTTGTAAATAAAATAGTTGTAGGTTACGATGAGATGATGCTATTAACGATGTTTCAGGCTCAGGATGTTAATAATTTCAAAAAAAGGGGTCTGCTCCAAGGACTAAGAGAATTTTGGAAAATAGCAGTAAATCGATTATCCAACTATTTTACGATATATGTAAAATTGATTGTCGTAGACATAGTCAAAGATCGTAGACGTAGTTAATTTCTCTCTACTTATTGCGTTATGATTTATTCACAGTTATCACAAATGTTGGTAGTAGTATGTATATATAATTTTTTTGGTTATTTTTATAGGAACAATTTTTCTTTCTTGTGGATCCGCCACTGCTGTGTAATGAAGTTAAGTATGGCTTCTCTTTCCGTTTTTTTTTTCTTCTTTTTTTTAATAACTTATAATCCGATATTCGAACATTAGTTATGTCTTTTGGAAAGAAGCCTTGAATGTACGCCGTCTATAAAACTGTCGAGAGTTAAGTCAAATATGCAATATGCATTTTTTATTTTAAAGATCTTTACTGTGCATGTCTCCTCCCCCCTATGTATTTAGACAAAATATCGATTCCACAAACAGTATACAATACCTAGGTCTGACGTTACGTAATTATGTAAGTAAAAACCATGGAAGGGATGCCTATCAAGCCTTTTATATATTTTATTTTTTCTCATTATTATACCAGCTCATCTGTTGATTGCTAAGTGCTAAAAATGAAAAACTATAAAATTCTCAGAAATAGGACGTTTTCTCATTAAATTAATTGATTAATGAGGCACTGAAAAGTTATTAATTCATAAGTATTCAGTGCCTCATATATTAATACACATTTGCTTCTTTCCACTTCAATCGTAAGATAATTTGATTACAAAATCGAAATAATGTATACAAAAATGTCAGGTTATTAAATGTATAACCTGTATGTATGATATCGTTAATTTGACAAGTTGGAAGTGAATGTCACGCAAAATGACCCAATATTTTTGTACGCCATTTTTTCCCCTCGATTTTATGATCCAATTATGTTACGATTCCAAACAAATGGATGTTCATGAGTTATTAGTACTCAACTAAAGAAAGTTTACCGCTGTTAAGATTGAAAATGTCTCAATTCCGACAATTTTCATAAATAAAAATGTTATAAGTTAAGATAAAGCGAAGCTATTCACGATGTTATAAGCGAATATTAATTATTTGGTATTAAGAGTTATTAACCACGGACTAATAGACGTGGAACTATGTTTATATTTTTTTCGTATTATAATGTTTTGATATTATCAGTATTCATCGAAACAGGAATGAGGAATCCAGTGAACTGTGTTTATTCAATAACATTTTTTTTTTTCTTCTATTTAGTATTGAATAACCAGTTTTGTTACAATGACCTTGTTCCGACATTAAAAGGAGGTAGCCCGAAAGGTGTAATGTTCAATCACTGAAAATATTATCAATGTCACAGTCGAAGAAGCAGAGGCATACCGTGACCGATTGTTAAACTGAATTATAAACTGTTGGCTGGCGCGCTCTTGTAGCATTTTTTATAACGAGTGTTTATATCTTTATGTACACTGAAGCCTGTTTGGTTATATAACCATATAATATTCTTCGGTAAGTTGTTCATTCTTGCTTTATCTACAATATCTTATACTCGACAATTTTTTTTTTAGGGTTTTAAATTAGTATGCATCTGTAAGAAATTCTATTTTACTGTGTAGTAATAAGGTTTTAAAAATGATATACAATATCCCCCAAAAAAGTGTATACTTTTTGAGTTATTCGGAATTTAATTTTACCATCCCTCGTAATTTTTTTTCCAACTTCTTTTCGTTGAAGTATGTTATATAGATAAATTTAAAAGGTGTCGAGAAAATGACTTTAGCGAAGTTTCATTGAAATCGGTACATTCGTTTAGGCGCTACAGCCTATAGCAACGCAGGTTTTTCTGCATTTTTTTCTCCTTTATTAACTTATCAAATTCTTTCAAAAGTTATATTTAGCATTTTTTCATTACTTTGAATAATGTGAAATGATCAACTTTTTAAAATAAACCATATTAAAGGTACTTAAGAGGAAGACGTATATGAACATTGGGCATTTAAGCCCTGTAAAGTGACTTCAATGGGGATAAGACCTAATTGATATTAAAGACCACTTAATTATACAATGATACACCGAGTTTAATCAAAATCGTTAGAGCCGTTTTTGAGAAAATTGTGAAAATGTGTTTCAGCTTTGATATAAAGTGGCACTTCTGGTAAGCCAATTTTAAGAAAAAAAATGGCTGCCATATCTAAAGCATATCTTAAATAAGTAATATTTCGGTTTTGAGCTAGACTGCTAACAGACACACAGACCATTTATATGCCTGTGTCTATATCTATATGCCTATAGTCTATCCAGTGTCTATATGCCTGCACAATATTGATTTATGACAAATTGACCTTACGAGATTCGAGTATTGCGATGTTGCAACGCCTGTCTCTGGCAAATTTCATCAAATGCGATGAGGAGACAGTTTTGCCAGGAGTAAGGGGGGGAGGTTGCCGAAGATGGAACGCGGATAATCGCTACGTAACGCGACGGAACGGTCACGGCTGGTTACTTTTAAAAACTTTCTCAGTTTTTTTTTTCTTTTTTCTTAAGATCAACATTCATCACAGTTCGATGACAGTTTGATAATGCCACTGCTGGCTATAGACCTTATTCACTGTCCTCAAAATTTGTTGAATCAATCAATTTTTTTCCGTTGATTTTCTTGTCTTCATATATCTTTCTACTTACAATAATTTGCTTTGTAATATTATTCGCCTCATTCTGTGCAAGATGGTCCAAATGGACCGCCTTTGATCTTCCTCTTGACGGAGGATGATATCTAATAATCTTTCCGGTAAGCAGATGTTTTTATTTACAGCCACAGTGGTCTTTATACAAAAGTCTTGAAACTAGGCGTCTGGACCGTAATCAATATTCATGTTTTTTATTTTTAATCTTATTAGTATTTTCTATATTCTTCCTTAGTCGGAACAATATGTGACGTGGATCTTACAGTGCTTTCACAATTTCTGTCTTTGTGCACCCGTGATTTCTTCCCAGCCTTGCTATCTGTACTATATCCTGTCAGTTGAGTCGCAGGTTCAGAGTAAACCACGGGACAAGGCTCCATTTGATGGCAATATTTTCCTTATGATTCTGATTTCTTTTCATTCTGTCAGCACTACTTTCTTCAAGAGGTCCGTCATAGTTACCTTGGTATTCTCTCTCACAGTTGGCCTCATACCTGCAGCTCTGTTCCAGACAAACCTATACGGGCTTCGTATCTATATGTACTTGTTTTTGTATGTTAAGATGTTATAAAATCATATCTAATGTTATATGAGATTAAATATTATTTCTTTGGACGTATTTTAATAATTTACACCTGAGTTCTCCAAACTTATTAGCCAAACTAAGGAGAAACTTTTAAGCAAGCATCTTCAATGTGGCCCGGGAAAGTTTATTTGATTACATACAATTTTAGAAATATGTAATCAAGCAACTTACTCACATAAGAGGTTACTGTAACGTTTAATTCATGTTTTTTTTTTTTGTTAGAAAACTTATTTCATAGCTGAAGTATCATTTGTAGATAAGATTTTTTTTCATCAAAAGCCATTATTGTTGCCCAAGACTCGTCTCGGTCCCGCAAACTCAGTTTTGGTCTAGTCTTGGTTTTGTACAAGAGTCTCGCAGTTACCTATAGGGAAAACCTAACTAAGCCCGAATGAAAAATTAGAGTTAAACAACAAGAGTTAAATGCAAAAGTATATTGATTATAACAATTCTTTACATATAGGAACTAAAATTGTCAAACATTAGTAACTATTTTGCCTTAATTTTTATTTAAAAAATAGATTTTGTTTTGTCAGTCTTCGTCTGGTCTTGCATCAGTGAGGCAGTCTTAGTCTTGGCACTTTGCAAGACCAAGACCGATTTTGGGCAGCGCAAGCCATGGTCTGCGGGATTTGGAGGAAGTTCTCAATACGACTTGCGGGCCAAAATTTTAGAGACCTCTGATTTACACGATTAGTTTGTGTTTGAATTTGTACGTTTATTGTAATTAGGAGATTTCAAAATTGCTATTTTTTTTTCTGATGCTCTAGTTTTATTGTTTAACAAATACATGTATATAAGTACATCGAAAATGCTTAAACTCAGCCCTGAGAATAAATACTAAATTTAGTGGTTATGGAGATCGAAAATGTGGTTAGCTGGATCTGTTAAGGTTTTAGATCTATTGCAGTTTGATTGACGGATTTGGAAGCGTCTGTGAATATCTTTACGTAGTCGGAGTAATGAGTAGCTTTAGTATTGAGAACTGGTGTGAATGTATTTATATATCACTATAATTATTGTCCACGTGACAGATTATTATATATTAAAATGGTCTTGGGATTTCTTTCCAATTGCTACATTTCACTGGACAATATTGTGTTTAGATCTAAGAAGGGATCTTTTGTAGTGTAGTAAAAGCTACATTTCAGTTATTGAATTGTTGTAACTTTAAAATATATTTTTCTTGAGATGGAATAAAAAAAAAAATAAAAAACTTAATATTCACTGATAGTTTTAAATAGTTTTAGAAAAAAAAAACAACATAATTTTTAAATTGCCTTGAACTGTATTACTTCCATGTTTTTCTCATCCAGTTTTCTATCCTTTTTCTAAGTCCGAAGAAACGGCTGTATCGAGCTGCTTGACACCGTTCCGGCCAAATCGTCATTTTACAATAAAAAATTCTTTCATTCTTCAATCTTTTGCTTTTTCTTCAGATGTGGCTGAAGAATTCTTTTGAAATGAATCATGACATACATCTTATTACACATTCCTTCTATTATCGCAAGCGCTCGGAAAGTATTTATGTATTATATGAAATTGAAATTTATTTATTTGGCTTTGCAGACTTTGTAGATCTTTTGCCGTTCTTAACCGACCTTTTCAATCTCTGCTTACTTTGTCCTGTTGCTTTCCAGTTAACTGCATGAAGCATTACATCTTTGCACCTGGTTTCTGATCCTCCACCTGGTCTGTTCGCTATTATTGAGACATTCATTGTGTAGAGGCTTCCAGATGGATTGCTGCGAGCTACATGTTTCGCCTATCTTAACTTCCTTGTCTTCATATCGTGAAATATTGATTAAGTAGGTTCTTTGGTATGTTTGGTACTTCTGGTTATCGTGGGGAGGATGTTCTTCAGATATCTTTCAATACTGCTTTCTTAGGTGCTGTTTAGTAACCAGGTCATTTGCGATCGTATGTCAGAACTGCCTCGTTTTTTCTATACCTTCGAAAGACAAAAGTTTGCGGCTTGTTATAAGTGGTTAATATCTGACCGTTGGTCATTCATTAATGTTATTAATGAATGGACCCTAACTCTATACTTAGATCCTCCTTTAGGTTTGCCATTATATATGTTGTTGTATCTTCATATACTTCTAGAATGATCAGATCTCTTCTTATCATAGTCTTAGCTAGTATATTTCGATTGCTTCCAAGAACAGTCATATCTTTACATATCCATTTCTGACGTGCACAAAACATTTTTTTTAAAGTATGGATTATATTTACCAACGTAGAACTAATAGTCTGTGATACAGACCCATTTTTATCAAATTCTTAACATCTGACTGAAACTTCGTAAATATCTCATTAGCTTCATCTCATCGTAACCGTTTTCAGTCTGGAGATCGGCAAGCTTTATATATTTAATCAGGTGCTAAAAAATTGTAAATATCCATTTATTTTTCACTTGAATCGTAAGATAATTTGAGCACAAAATCGAGAAAAAAAGGTGACCTTCAAAAATATTGACTCATTTGGCGTGACCTACACCTCCAACAAGTCCAAATATCGGAGGTTATATATAGGCCAAACGGCCCAATATTTTTGTAGGCCAATTTTTTTTCTTGATTTTTTTAATCAAATTATCTTACGATTCAAGTGAAAAGCTAATGACTATTTACGAGTTTTTAGTACCTGATTTAATCGACAAAATTTACTCCTTTTTTTTTTTTCTAGCATTCAATTGCACAATCGTCCTTGTTTCGGTTATTGAGCGTTTCTGGCGATGGGATTGTAAAATAAGTTAGTTTATCAAGGTTATATTCCTTTATTGTTCGATATATCATGGAACTTCAAAAATCATTATTTATTACAGCCATATATATAGTCCGTGGTACTGATCGATTTTTATGAAATTATTAACATCCGCCCAAAACTTAGTAAATATCTTCATCTCATCGTAACCTACAAATATTTTATTTGCCAAAATTCTCGGAATTTGTCGGAGGTCGGCAAACTTTGTCTATTTAATTAGTTCACGCCAAACGGCTCAATATTTTTTAAGGCCACCTCTTTTCCCGACTTTATGCTCAAGTTATCATACGATTCCAGTGGAAAGCAAATGGGTATTTATTTGTTTTTAATCCTTAATTAAATAAGCAAAGTTTGCTAGTCTCCAGATTGTAAACTCCTCCGATTCCAAGAGTTTTCGTAAATAAAATACTAATAGGCTACGATGAGATGAAGCTATTGATGAACTTTCAGGTGGATGGTAATAATTTGATAAAAATGGGTCTGTACTATGGTCCATAAGTTTTATATTCCCTTTTTCAGAGAAAATTGTTAAATCTTCCAAATGGTTGAAATGTTTATTACTGGGAAGGAACGTTCATAAAAACATTGACTAATGTGACGAAGTGTATAATATATATTGATTTACATTACTGTCGATTAAAACGAAGCAGTCGTATGTCTTAATAATTTCATGTGATCCGCTTCAACGACAGTGAGAGCGAATCCATATCCATATTCTGTTATAGTCGATGATTGAGAACCATTCTGCGTTTGGAAATTAGTGTTACATATATAATGAAGAGAAAGTAGTTCGCTTAATTTGCCAATCTTCTGATCAGACGGAATGTATTTCAACAATCCCTTTCCCTATTTGCAACTACACACATCGCTATGCCTGTACCTGAAGAAACGTTTAACGCCGCGTGTTGTTGAAGAGTGGCGAAAACATAATTGCTCGCTTCCTCTAGACTAATTGAAGCCGCTGAAGTTTACTTTAATTTATCTACCTGATGGAAAATGCGTGCCATTCTTTATAGTGGTGTATAAAGAGTAGGTTATGTAAGAAGCAAAAATATAAAAATAAATTATATACATTAACTATATTTATAGATGGGGTTAACCTCTTCAGGGGGACGGGGTGGCCGAATAGGCTAAAGCGTGTGTAACAGCACCGCTAGTTGCCTGGCAACCGGATAACTAAGATTTGAGATGATATAAAAAGTACGAGTTCGCGTCCCGGTGCCGGAGGGGAGTTTAAATTCCCCGCCCTCTCCCCCCGGCCCGGGAAAATCCCGTATAGCCTAAAAGGCGAGGTAGGAAAGAAAAAAAAAAAAAAAAAAAAAGAAAAAAAAAAAAGGTTAACCTCTTTTCATCATTTGAGACTGCAGTAAGGTTAGGCATTGCCAATGGAGGCTACAAGAATTTTGTTATGTTTTACTGTTGCTATATTAATTTATCACTGAATACATACGCTACATATATTCAATTTAAAACTATTAATTTTAAAATTTTCGTAACCTAAATAATTAAATATTAATCATAATGATGTAGAGATGGTTGACCGTGATATAATATGAGGAGTTGATCGGAGGTGGGAGGGTGCGGTCAAATAAGTACTACATTTTAAAAAATAGTACTTTTAATTATTACACCGACGTTTCGACCCACCTTGCAGGTCTTCATCAGGGCTACAAAAGATACAAAATATAAAAGGTATATGGTGAAAATCAAATAAATGAATTATAAGTAGATATTAAAAAAGAAACAGTTGTTTGATAAAGAAATAATAAGATGACATAAGAGTGGGTGACAGTGTGGTTAAAATATCAAGTATTATTTTATTATTTATTAATATCAAGTATTCATATTTTATATGTATTGATATATTGACACCCACTATATCCCTGATGTCATCTTATTATTTCTTTATCAGGCAACTGTTTCTTATTTAATATCTACTTATAATTCATTTATTTTATTTTATTCATTCAAACGTCGGGGTAATAATTAAAAATACTATCTTTTAAAATTTATTACTTATTTGACCGTACCCCTCGATCAACTCCTTCTCATAAATATTAATTAATTCTAGCGGTATATAAATAAATATCGCGCAATAACTTTCTGAGGTCATATGCTTGCTGCTTCCGGGGCCATAGGTTCCTCCCTCTATGAACTGTATTGATAAATATATAGATACAGGACAGAATCGAGAATTGAACTTTATTCTGGAACTAAGCCCCCTTAGAATAAAAATGATGAACAAATACAAAAGAAAATACATATCTGGTCAAAAACTAACTTATAAAGATTCTAACCTTATATACATTAATTTAAAAAAAAGTACGTAAACTACAACTAAAAAGTAAAATAATAAAGAAAAATAATTATTATTGTAATGGAAGAAAAAAAATGAGTATTTGAAACTTATATTATATTATATTATGTTCCGAATAAATAGTATTTCTTTGAACAAGTGTTTTACTATAAAAAAAGTTTATAATTATTTTGTAAGGATTTTTTTTTTTCAGTTTCTTGTTTATTTTAAAAATAATTGTGCCTGTATTATATTCATTCATACAGATATAAACATCGTATGAAATCTATTTACTATAGATATATAACGAATATTGATCTAATTGTAGGACTGAGATTTGTTTTCTTTTCCCGTTTCCCAGTGTGTTTTTACTGCAGCGGATGACGAGGTCACAAGACCAGATGTTCTTCTGGTTGCCCTTGACTTTACCGGAGGGTTCATTGAGAGTGTGTACTTCGTGGAGTCAGTCATTGCATTGCAATATTATATATTGTTTACACAATTTACTACATTTTTCGACTTATTAAGTATCAATTTTACATAAAAATGTTATCGGTATTATAACGATTATCGGTATCGGCATATAGTCTATGGACTAAATATATGTTTTTTTAGTGTTGAAAAAAAAATACAAAAGAAAAGAAAACAAATCTTTAACGGAGATAAAATGTATGTAACGTAATGTACTTCTTATAACAGTGGATTCAGTTAATTCTCGAGAGTAATAATTCTTAATTCGAATGTGTAAGTGGAGTTAGAAAATAGTTCAGTGAATTAGGCAATGGACTGCTAATCTTAAGGTCCATGGTTATAAACTGGGCTAATATTAAGTAATTTTTCATCAGCCGTGGATCGACGCTGGAGTAATTATTTTTTTTTTCTTTTCTTTATATCATATACTTCGACAAAAACAAATAAAAACACAAATTAGTTTGATCCATAACTAAAAAAGGCGCAACTACTGTAAATTGGCACGTTTATTCGGCGATCCCGACAGACAGAGAAAAGGCTGATGTGTGGGTATGTACCTCGTATTGATTATGTTTATCGGAGTAAAGGTTTGAATGTGAAATACGAAAGTAAAATAGACCTTTTTGCCGTTGTGAAATAGACTCTAGGATCAAAATAGCCAGAGCTGTCACTAACAATATAGCTTGCTGCCTTATAGAAAAGAGTTTTTCCACTTTTCAACGTGGAGGGGGGGGGGGAGGGCGGTGGAAACAATTCCAGGCTGTGGGGTCTAGACCATTGTTCGCTGCTAATGTTGGCGAGACAATGGGAGGCGTACTCCCACAGTCTGTCAGATCGGGATGGAAGTCATCCACCCTCTGGATATGCCAGTACACTTGGGATAGCATTATTATCCCGAAGGAAGGGGTACAGGTCTGGGATTGTTGCCTTATATTTTTAGTCATTTTCCTTTTTTTTCTTTTTCTAGCATTCAATTGCACAATCGGCCTTGTTCTGGTTATTGGTCGTTCCTGGCGATGGGATTTCTAAAGCAAGTTAGTTTCTTAAGGTTATATTCCTTTATTGTTCGATATATCATGGAATTTCAATAATCTTTATTTATTATTTTTCAAAGGTGTTTTTTGTCCGTATGCCGTATAGTCAGTCCGTGGTACAAATATCTTTTTATCAAATTATTAACATCCGCCCGAAACTGTAAATAGCTTCATCTCATCGAAAACTACAAATATTTTATGGGTGTCAAATATTCAGGACGCAGTATTAAAAAAAATATTTTTGTTTTATTTATTTTTTTTATTTTCGGACAGTCGACAAGCTTCCTTCTATAATTCTACAAATATTTTATTTACGAAAATTCTCGGAATTGGGGCGTTTTCATCTGGAGTTCGGCAAACTTTGTCTATTTAATTAGGTAATAAAAAACTCTTAAATACCAATTTGCTTTTCACTCGGATTGTAAGATAATATGATCACAAAATCGATAAAAAAGGTGGCCTACAAAAATATTGATCCGTTTGTCTTGTAATATAACCTCGTTATTTTGAAAAGTTGGGGGTCCCGCCTAACGGCTCAATATTTTTGAATGCCATCTTTATGCTCCCTGACTTTATGCTCAAGTTATGATACGATTCCAGTGGAAAGCAAGTGGGTGCTTATTTGTTTTTAGTACCTAATTAAATAAACAAAGTTTGCCGACCTCCAGGTTGAAAACGCCCCAATTCCGAGAATTTGCGTTAGTAAAATATTTCTAGGTTACGATGAGATAAAGCTGTTTACGAAGTTTCAGGCGGATGTTAATAATTTGATAAATAGGGATCTGTATCGCGGACTAATAATAATTAGAAAGTTTTACAAATGTCTTAAAAAATATTAAAAATAAATAAATAAAATAAGCAAATCATTAATAATGGGCGTGTATATTTATAGATCTCTACTACAAATAGGTTCCAACGAATAGTTACGTCCTCAAAAATAAGTAAAAATTATTTATTTCAAAAAATAATAAAAAGTGATCCATGATCTACACTATACTACATTTCAGTTTTTGTACTGACTTACTCAAACATTATTACTTATGCATGAGAAAGATAACCTCCTCGGGTACTTTCACATATAGGCAACACTAAATAACTTTCTTGACTATTTAAGATTGTTAGAAATCTTAAATTTCCTTTTGCCATGTCGTTTTCGTATAAAATTTATCTTGAAATGAATATTCAGCTGTTTCTTATTAAAAAAACAAAAGAACTAATCTTATTTCATTAAGGAGAAATACTCTATTTAATTTTTAAAATGAAACTTTTAGAACCTCTGCTGTGTGATGTCGAATTACTCTTGGTGTTGTACCATTATAAATTAATTTTGTTTGTTTTTTCTCTTTGATTAAGAGAGATATTAGCGATCTATTATCACAATATGATGATTCTTCTAATTACTAGAAAAAATTGGCTGGCCTCAGTGCTATTAAGATTACTAATAGGATGACTAACGTAAAAGGTGAAGTGTTATCGGAAAACATTTTTATCTCATTTTACCAGTATGATTCGTGTCTTTTCGTTTTGGAATGTACCTTTAGAGAACTTATAATAGTTTCGATGACTATTATTAAAGTAATTGAAGGAATATTTTATTTTTTTTAAATTAATTTATTCATGATATTTACAACTGTATTAAAATCTAGTAAATGCGTACACAAGTTATAATCTCATGAAACTGCCTATATTGAGAAACTACCCAGTGGTAGCACTCTAATAATATATTTGCATTAGAAGATCACAAGGCCATCTTCTTTTCAGGCGCCTTGTTACCTGTTTTTACTAGGGTTACCTGAGATCGAGGATTAGGGATTAGCAGAGGATTAGGCTAAATCGAAAACATATGGTACGTTAAGGTCGTTATGGGTGATTTTGTAAGCGGAAACGTCGAGCGGTGGTTTCTTGTCGTTTCAGTCTTTTTTTGAGAATTCCATGTGAGTAGTTCGTCCAGATGGAATCCTAGGTATCGGATTTGTTCAACAGGGATAAGTTTTTTGTTTTTTTTAAAAACTTTTATTGAGTATTAATACAATCTGCCACACTGAAGGGCATTGGTATTAGGGCTATAGTAAGGGATAAGTAGGGATGAAGAAATATAAGCATAGACATTTAGATATGTCTCTTCTTAATGAAATTCCATTTCGTTCGTTACCCCATCTCTACTTATATATGAGGGATATTATATAGTGTAGATTGTAACCTCTAGATCAGCCAATTGTAATAAGATTCGTAGATGTAGGTCTGTTGGCAGTGATTGTATGTTATCACCTGCGTATTTATTACGTGTAATGCTACTGCCAGATCTGTCGGCCTTCTTATTTTCTTTTCCTGGCGGCAATAAGTAGCGCGAAGACCTCTTGAGGTTGATGGCACAAAAGACATGCCGCCAGCTGAACTCTGATAGGACCGATCTAGAAGATACGGATGTGTGCCGCCATTGTCTGTGCCTACATCTCTGCATCTTTGGCTTCGGCGGTGAAATCGCCGGGGACCGTTCGTCTTCTGTCAGGCTCTGTCAGCTGTGCCACTTCCTTTGTGTTTTATAGTGAGCCATCTCTTGTATATCATAGAGGCAGTGTCTGGCGTAAAGGAGAAGAGAGGGGGAGGTATATTAATTTGGTTCGAGGTCGACACCTACCGTTATGTAAAGGCAGAGCAGTTTTTTATATTTTAATTAAATTTCTTTTTAAAGAATATTTAACTATCCATAGAATATAATGCTTTCTATGCTAGTTTTTTTTTTTATTTATTTTTTTATTTTTAGTGTGTGACATCCTCACATTCCTCACTTGCCATTTTTGCAGGATGCCTTTATCACATAGCCCTTTGTACACATCTTTTTTTATCAAATTATTTACAACCGTCTAAAAGTTCTTCAATGGTTTCATTTATGATAACCTACAAGTTTTTTATCTATGAAAATTCTCGAACATGGAGCCTTTTCTCATTAAATAAAATAATTTAATGAGTTACATACTGAAAGAAGAAGACCTGAGATAACGAAGTGGAGGAATCCATGAAGGGTCATGGTCTACGAGAAAACTGGACCTTAGATAGGACATTATGGAAAGAAGCCATCTAAGCACATTAGGTTAAGGAAACCCACTATTAGTGGAAACTCCTAAATAAAAAAATAAAAAGGTACGTACTAAAAACTCAGGAATACCCATTTGATTTGCACTTGAATCATTAGACAATTTGATCACAAAATTGGCATACAAAATATTTAAAATACAAATATATATAAAAAATATGGTCTCGTGCAGTACAAGGACAAATCTTGCGGACTGTACATGTATATGATATTATACTTATAAATATAAATAGTTAGAATTAAATTATGGAGGATAAGAAAAAAAAAAAAACACTACAAAAATATACAGGCCCATTTGATCTGTATAACTGGTTATTTTGACATGTTGGGGGTGGAGGTCACGCAAATGACCCATTATTTTTGTAGGCTAACTTTTTTCTTTTCTTCGATTTAGTGACCAATTTATTTTACAATTCAAGTGAAAAAACAATTGGGTGTTCATGAGTTTTTGATATATCATTAAATAGACAAAGTGGACGATTCTCCAAATGAAATACCCACCGTTTTCTAAGCTTTTTGTAAAGAAAAAATAGTAGGATATGATAGGTGAAGCCATTTGCTAGGGTTTTAAAGGACGTTAATGCTTGTACGTTTTAATTTTGGAATTATTAGCTATGTTTAAAAAAAATACCATTATATAAAACCTCTTTTCTGTCATATATCTTTAAGCTTCCATTAGATAGCATGAATTTCTGAGGTCTTTTGTTGTTGTGACTATATACAGGAAGTTGAACTTTGTTGTCTTGAATAATGTTTTATCCCTAAAATTGCCTTCCTGGTTTCTTCTCTTTGGAGTTACTTTGAAACATTTCCTGGATTTGGGGAGGAAGTAGAGCTTTCACAGGTGGGGCGCCGCTGAATGGAGGAATGGAGACGCATTTCCACAAAGCCTGTCCGCTTTGGTTCAAACCAACGTGGAGAAACTTGCACGTGTTGCGAAAGGCTGAAACAAATTACGATCTTGCCGAGTTTACGCAATTTTCGATTTAAGGTTCCTTGATTTATTTACACATATTATATTTTTGGATGTATTCTTGCAATTTACTTGCTTTTACTCGCGTGTAAATTGGATTACAGATGCCTGTTTGTTTTGCACACCGCTATGTTTTACTCATTGACTGATTAAGACCTGAAATGGTTGTACAAAAACAAAATGACCATCACGGTGTCACTGTACCATTGCCACTTCACTTTGACGTGTGAGTCAAGATCCCATGATCACAGTGTAAATAGGATTTATAGGATTGACTGCATGTTTGCATGATAACCCCCCCCCTTTATTTAGATAGCGATTTCGACTTCGGCCAACTCCTAACTAGTCCTTTTAAGTTAAAATCGATGAGTTAATTAGCTTTAATTCCGTCGCTGCTACGTTTGCTCAAACAGCTTAAACAAATCTTAACGGCCTTATCATCAGCGTTTCCACCATATTTTTTTAATATTGAATAATTAATAGTTGACCATTGCATTATGAAGCAAGGAGATGGTCCGGGGTGGCGGTCATAAATAGGCTAAAACTACTTTATTAAAAGTCAACTTTTCGACCCGACTTTGCAGGTAGGAGTTTCAGTTAACTTCTTCAGGGCTAGAACGGACAAGATACAAAGAGATATAAAAAATTGTGAAAGTTACCTACCCACTGGTAGCACTCTAATAATTTGTCTACATGAGAAGATCACGAGGCCATCTTCTTTTCAGACGCCTCGGAGGGTTATCAGGAATCGAAGAGGAAGCAAGGTTAGAAACAAGAGGATTCGGATGGTTATGAAGTTTATTATGGAAGGATAGGTATCTGGATTTGGCCAAATCGGAAACATATGGAACATTGAGGTCTTTATGGATTATTTTATTAGTGACAAAGTAAGGAGCATTGAGGATTTTACGAAGGATTTTGGATTGTAAGGATTGGATGCGAGAGGAATTCGATGGTTTAGTGGAGCCCCATAGCTCAACTGCGTAAGTCCAAATAGGTCTTATTATAATCAAGTATATGAGTCTTTTGTAATTAAGGAGAAGTTAAGAGCGTTTGTCTAGTAAGTGTTGGAGTAGTCGGAAACGTCGAGCGGTTTCTTGTCGTTTCAGTCTGGTATGAGGATTCCAAGTTAGACGTTTGTCCAAATGAAGTCCAAGGTATCGGATTTGTTCAACAGGGATAAGTGGGGTATTATTAAAGGATACTGTGGGACATAAGGTCATACGTTTACGTCGAAGGGTAAAGGTGATTTGATGGGATTTATTAGAATCAGAGAAAGAAAATAATACCAAAAAATAAGTAAATAAAATTAGAAGATTAAAAATAGAGACTTTCAAGTGAGTGTAGCTAGGAGTTTCACTTAGAACTGGAAAATCAGGCTAAGAATAGGTGTTGGGGAAATTAGCTGACCTATTTGAGTAATGGGAAAAATCTGGAAAAATTACAGTATCTAAAGTTTGAAGATATAGATGGATACAAGGGAAAAAGTACTATATCTGTGAAATAATAAATTATAAATATGTACATATAAAATATAATTGAGGGTCGAAACGTTGGCTTTTAATAAAATAGTTTTGCCACTATTTAGTCGCCACCCCGGACCATCTCATTCCTTTGTATATTTTTTTAATTTCTCTGTTATTCAGTAAAATTTTCCATTATGCTTCCTCACTACCGTATTCGTGCGTGAGGTTGAAAAAATGTTTGTGCTCAGAATTGAAAATTTTCACTCGTGTTTTACGTTTCAGACATCAATGATTAAATTTGTGTTCAGCATTAAACCATCTTTATAATGAGCTATTATTTATAATTTATATTTCATATTATTAATCTCGCCTTGTTGATGTTTCAACTTCTATGGTTTGGCCTAAAGCACGCACCTTAGTTTTTTTTTTAAATACAAGTTTTATCTAGACATATTTTAATATTGATTTTTTCCTAGATCTCTAATAGAAACAGCCGTTTAGAGTTTTCATCATCGAACTAGTGTCCGTTTCTTTTACTAAGCATATAGATATTTTGACTATTAACTGTTGACTTAACAATAATGTAAAGCAGGATTATTTATCCTATATTTATAATAATAATTATTTTAACTTTAACAACCGGTGAACTCCTATCATTCGAAGCAGTTGTGGTATTTTTCCGTTCCGATTATTTTTTTCGATTGTTCCTAATACGTGTTTACAGTAGTCATTAGTTCTATCTTATCTGTTATTTTTACTTTTAAAGATAAAAGATAAACACTTGTCCGTGAGGCGTTAATGTGAATTCCACCTTCGAACTCACACATGATTAATAATTTCTATTTGTATTCATTCATTTAGATACCTCAAGTGAGTGACATGGCTCGAGAGAGAGATAAGATTGTGCAAATAATATTCCTAGAACCGTGCCTGTACTTGACTCTTTTATTTGTTTCTAGATTGCTAATTACCTGGAATAATTTGCTATTCAACACAGTTTGAAATATTTGTGACATTCATTATCAGATAATAGATTTTTAGGAAATGATTGAGTAGAATATGATTAACGCTTTTTTCTTCTTAATTTTCGGGGAAAGTCTAAAATAATTTTTCATTGATGGTAGCAACGATAACATATTGTGATGCAACTAAAATAATCATAAAGCTAGAAAAGAGACATAAGGTAATTATGTTATTAATGGGAAAATCCAAACTACCAATTCTCCAGTTATTCACTCGTGTGTTTGGAGACTCATGGCTTGATAGTTTGCATTTTTCCATTAATTACATGATTACCTTATTTTTCTTTTCTATCTTTAAGATTGTTTTAGTAATATTAGTTGGGAATGGATGTTTATATGTAAAATGTTTTTTACTTTCCTACCTATGCTAGGTAAGGAAAGTATTGCGATCGGGTCAAATTTCCGATATGGGATTTTCGACGGATCTATACGTTTCAGAACCTCTTAAGTCCGTATGTTTAGCCATTGGTCTGTCTGTCTGTGCTAAGATTTTCTCGGGAACTACTGAACCGATTTTGTTGTTTTGTTTTTTTATTTTGTAGGGTTTTGACTACTGATCCCTGTGACAGAAATTCGGTGCTCCATGCGCAATAGCTTGCGCGCAATATATGAAAAACATGTTTTTCTATAGACTGTAGCGCGAAAATGGCTCTAACGATTTTGATGAAACTTTCCTATAATGTTTTAATAATCGTCCTTTCAATTTTCGTATATGGACTAACATTGTTAGGAAATACTGTTCTAAGGCCAACGGTTGTGTAAGATGATCGGGCCAGGATTCAGCCGCCTTAGTGCGTGGTTCAGACCCCTTATTATGGAATTATTAACATCCCCCTGAAACTTCGTAAATGTTTTTATCTCAACGTAACCTACAAATATTTTATTTACGGAAACTCTTGGAATTGTAGCATTTTCAATCTGGTGAGGAAGAGGGGAGAGGCAAACGTTGTCTATTTAATTAGTTACTAAAAACTCGTAAATACCCATTTGC